GCTCATTAATGTCTGTGAGATGATAAAAAGCTCAAAATGATATGGAGAGCGGGCCTCAGCGCATGCGCAGATTGTTATGTAATCGCTCGTAGTTTCTGCATAAAAAAACATATATTACTTCTGAAACCCACCGAAGACTTAGGAAATCGGGAACAGTTCATGGCAGAGTGGAGCAGAAGAGAAGGTGGGATATTCACGTAAATTGAGTCAAATGGCAGACTTTCTCAGATACTTCTTCTGAATCTATGAAATGTGCTCTGACGAAATTATGCAAAGCGTTTCTACTCCTGCCCTAAGGCTGCTGTAAACTGTCCCGAACTTCTGCTTGTTTCGTTTCCCAACAGAAGCCGCTGCAGTGTGGACTCTTGTTGGACTGTTTACATATCCTGATCTGAAGTCGCCGCTGACGTGGTTACCTGTAGCAAATCGGACGGAAGGGCAGAAGTAAACAGAAGCACCCTCTAAGTAACTTCCGTATCTGATAGACTGTCCTTCATTACGGCCTGGTGCCCTGCCAATATTTTCGCTTTCATGCACTGTTTATTAGTATTTGCGGCCATATGTACACTAACCGTCACAGTTCTGAGCGTCTGGTTTGGTTTATTGGGGTGGGGTGGGGCGGGGTGAGACTGAGTCCACTTGGTACGTCGGCCACTAACTGGCTTCTTGTACCAGCCCCGGATGGTAGGCGGGTGTGAAACAGTCAGTGAAATGATAATTGGCAGGAGGATACGTGGCACTCTGTCCACCACAAATCCCATATGACCTGACCTCTGTTCGAACCTGGGCCGCCGTCATGGGAAGCCTGCGACTGACGGCCGCAGCGCCTGGTTGCTAGGATACCGCGCAGTACAGGACAGTTGCGGAGGGAGCAGTATTTAGTGTATTCAAGAGCCTGTTCCTCTCTCGGGTGCGGCAGGAAACTTGCGGTGTCTGCAAGAGGTTCCGTTTGTCCCGAGCAGCAACGGATTAGTTTATTTTGACCGGATATATACATCGTACAGTGTGCCCCAGGATATGTACAGCGCGTTATTAGCAGAAAACAGCGTTACCGAGCAAAAGTGGCAGCGCACAGGTATCGCCAGGCTCGTGTCTCACCGCAGTAACTGTGCAGAGTATTGTGAATTGTGGCGCCGTGTTTTCATGTTCAATATGCCTCCTGTCATCGTCCGAACGCAGCCTGGAATGCAGAAACAGTGAACTGCAATATCGTAACATTCTCCGTATGGCTCGTACATGTTGAGGTGAAGCATTGGTCATGACGTGTAACAGGCCATGGTGACCCATAGGGCTGTGAGACGTCGAGGTTCCCACACTTTCTAGAGAATCGGCTCACAGATGGCGGCAAGGTTTCAGCCTTACGTGCCGGCTGCCCTTTACCCCCAGGAAGATTCCCGTTTCTCATTTCTGTTAGAGGCTGAGTGACCCCAAGGCCATAGTGTGGCTGGAAGGATTAGGTCAATTGAAAAATCCAGTGAACACGTCGGGAATCGAGCTCGTTGTTGTCCGGCTTGTAGCACAGAGACTTGGGAAACTACGTTTTGTTGATGCACTGTGTACATATTTTGCGTCGTTTCTGCAGGAACTGTTGGGCGCTTAAGGAAAGGAAGCGAAGGCAGTTTGAATCGTTTGAAATTCCCTTGTTCTGAAAGAAAGCGAAGTCGCCTCCTCCCTTTGGCAGTTAGTCGGAAAATTTCTACCAGATTACGCGGCTCCACATCTCTGTGTAGAGCCAAGTCAGTGCACTCTGCACTGTCTGTCATTGCGTTCCACCAAGAAGCGAAGCGAGTGGCAGTGATTATACAAACCTCGCTCCTCATAAATGGATTCTGTCGAAATTTCGTAAGTGGTACCGACGTTTGTCGCTCGCTCAGCAGACGACGTAGTGACGCACGCCAGAGAACCTCTTCTGGGTCGGTGATCGTAAAGCGCAATGCTGTCGAAACGTCGAGCGGTGACCCAAATGCATGGAGCGCGTAAACGAAACATCATTGGAAGCGTGGCTAGGGACTCATTCCTTTCAACGGAACGCAACCTCTGTTACATTTCATTTGTATTTTCTCCTGTTTGTTTGTACACCCATGTGAATACATCATTTGTCATAAGCTTCCATAGAACTAACTTCCCCTGCTTTATGCCGCATTCCTTTCCAGTACTGCTTGCTATCGACTGATACATAGAGACCGACTTTTAATGCCACCTACGACGAATATCACGCACAAATAACCAATTGTAAACCGTCTCACTTGTGTAGTACGGTACATTTCACACATTTACATAAACGCATTGTCAGTACTCGCAGAATGGACACGATACACCGAAACAAAATCGCCCACTAGTTTGTGACATGTTGCATAACTTACGTCCTTGCGACATGTTAACGCCCTACAGTTCTCTGCTACTGTAACCCGAAATGCCGCAATTTCAGGGCTTCGTCTCACCGTTACATTACCTTCTGCTGTGCTCTATGGAAGAGGATTCGCCTCTTTGTTTGTAGACCTCGCCATCTTGAGTCGGTAACGAGGAGCCGCCATGATTGAGACTACGGTGTGTGATTGTCGGATAACAGAGCTCGATTGTTGTGTCTGAGTTGGTGATCATGGAGCCATCTAGCGGAACGTAAGGTTTTTCAAGCCATGCTGGACAACAAGCAGGAACGTTCGATGTCAGTGTACTCGTGTCGTCTCAACGGAGTACACCATGGTCTGAACAGGAAGTTCGGCGTGCGGCCGCATTGTCGCCAGCAGCGCAGATGCTCTTTGTCCCAGAAACTGCTCTACCAGGCCGTCAGCAAGGTGACTGCAGTCCCTGAGAGAACCGATCTGTAATCAGATTTGGTGATATCTCTGGTCCGGTATCCCGAGTGATCCTGCAAAGCTTAGAGAACATTCTGGCCGTAACACTAGCGTGCAACAGTTGCTGTCAAGTGCGGTGGGCCTCAGTTTGCCCACCGGTGTTGTAACATAAAGCACATCCCTTCTCCACTGTCCATACGACTCCTGTAATGGCCAGTAAATAGCGTCAGCAGTTGATTTATCCGCTTCGCATCGTGATGTAATGTTAGTCTTGTGCCGCCATGTTGCGCTGCTGACAGCTGATGGATGGCGTCGCAAGGGGCCATTATTTCACAGCGGCGCTTCCTGGCCGTGTTTGAGCTCTCAGACCCATCCTGAAGCCGGGACCGCAGACCCTGTCTGAAACGTCACACCTTTCGCAAGAAAAGTCCCTGTGTGTTTCTGTATGGTGACTTTGGTTCCCATAATGTGTTGAAATACAGTAAACCCCGCTAATCCGGAGTAATGGGGGCGAGAGGCCTTACGGATTAAGCAATAATCCGGATTAATGAAGAAAAAGGTGTTCTGAAAGGAAGAAACTTAGAATACAATCAAATGGAAAATTTAATGATATAAATAGTGCCGATAAAATAAACACAGATATCACTGTAGAGCCTTTATTTAAAACCCATGAAAAGACAGTGCATTTATTCGCCGACAGAAGCCTCAGCAGTTGCACTTGTTTCTGAACGTAATGACGCAGGTTTGCAGAAACTGTCTCAAGTTTTGTCTGAACAGACAAGTGACTCATCTGCCTGCCTAAGTGCCACGTGTCCTCTCATCTGCCAACAGCATGTTTCGCTCCGGATTAACTGCAACCGGGCTAGTGAGGGTTTACTGTATATATAATCCAGAAACCTTCTAATGATGACGTAACGATCAACGTCACTATCTGATGATGACGCAACTTGAAAGATATTTTAGGCACGGTTTAGTATGTTTTGTATGTGCCCGTCTTGTGGCTCATGTGTTCGCTTCGTGATGCTTACTGCACTGCACTGCACTGCTTTTCCACACGGAGCCACCATGATCGTGCTATTCTGTATATTAGCCACTTCTTCTCGACCCGTGACAAACAGAACTGACAGCATGGTGGCTCCGTGCGGACTGGTCCCAACACGAGGCATATAGTTTGTGTGTGCTGTTTCCACTGAGACCCGTCCAGCCTGTGACGTAGTTGTCACCATGCTGCAGTGACGTCACTTTGTCCTTTGCGTAACCATCAAACACAAATCTGACGGAATGTCTAGACTAGGTGAAGGGGAAGGCCAAGGAACCGCCAATTCGGAAACTAGACACTTGAATGAATGAATGAATGAATAAGGGGTGGGCCTTCTCGGCCTTTGCACCGCGACCCACAGTGATCTATAGACACTTAGTCAATTCCCCATAACATTATCCAGATATAAAAGAGAGTACAGTGATAGATTTTCTAGCGCCTTCTTCTGTATTCTGTCTCTTGATGTAAGTAACTGCAAGACGTTACTCTGACCCTGCGCCAGTGGCTCAGCACGTAACACTTCTGCCAGGCTTGTCCTTTGCCACTCCCCTTGGGCCTACTCGTCCCTCTAATTTACATGTTGACGTATGTAACATTTGCTTGGCAACGACCTGGACCACGAGCTACACGAATCTTGTTCTTTTCGCTTTCTCGGTATTGGTTTCTACGGGCAGTTGTTTTGACATTGTAGCAAGATGGCGGGCTCGCCTCTTCTATTGTCTTAATATCTGAAATTGGTTTCCGGTCATTCACAGTGTGGCTGTGCGCTGCTGTTGCAATAGATGCAGTAAGAATCCGGTCATATACTGCTTCCTGCCAGGGTAGGACGTTACGTACTTGTATATGTACCGGCATGGTTTAGTGGTGCAATGAACGCCTGTTACGAATGCACTTCCTCATCTCGTCCAGTCGCTCGAGTCTTGTGACGCCGGAAACAGTCGCATCTGGCTGCAATGTACGTCCCGGAACCAGAAGAGTCTAGCGAAACGCGCGCGTGCTGCCTGTGTTAGGACAGTGCGAAAATATCGCGCTTTCTTGCAGTATAGAAGTTGAACACAATACATAGTTTGAAAAGAAAGAAAGAAATCACAGATTTGATAGAAAAAGATAGTGACGAGTGAGCAGAGGTTAGCTGGCTGGTGTGACATGCCGACGCCCTGTTGCAGGTGCTGTCGCTGGGCGCCGACGTCCTGCCAGAGTACAGGCTCCAGACCCCGCGCATCAAGAAGTGGACCATCCTCCACTACAGCCCATTCAAGGCGGCCTGGGACTGGCTGATCCTGCTGCTCGTCATGTACACCGCCATCTTCACGCCCTACGTGGCCGCCTTCCTGCTCAATGAGCCGGACTTCAGCACCCGGAAGAGTAAGAAGTACGGCGATGACCCGATCGTCATTATAGATCTGATAGGTACGCCAGCTTGCCAACACAGTATTGTGTCTGATAGGTACGCCAGCTTGCCAACACAGTATTGTGTCTGATAGGTACGCCAGCTTGCCAACACAGTATTGTGTCCTCTTGTTGGAACGCACGTTCACAGCTGGTGAAGGGGTTTCCTGCGGCCCTCCTCAGGCTACACCGTGTTTCTCTCTGCGGTACAACTAAATATTATTGTCCTGTTTGCATCCAGCCATTCCTTGAAATTCTATACCATTTTTCTTTAGTATACGCCCCGAGAGCTTGGACCTTCTCAATGTACACATCCCAGCAGGAATGTTCCTCAAGCATCCACTCATTAATCAACAATTTTTCTGAAAGAAATGCCTTAGATCTGAGATTCTTAATCCATCGTGACGAAATTTGTATTGGCACTGACATTTTTATGTGACACTTTTCTTATGCCCCTATATTTCTGGAGTTTCCTTGAAAGCGCAACGTCCTCTTCCGGATGCCCGAACAGGCAGAGCGACTGGTGTGCTCAGTAGATCCTACATAACGCAGCCTCCTCTGTGTGTGTCTTTCAGTGGACGTGACCTTCATCGTGGACATCCTCATCAACTTCCGCACGACGTACGTGAACAGCAACGACGAGGTGGTGTCGCACCCTGGCAAGATCGCCGTGCATTATCTGCGAGGCTGGTTCCTCATCGACCTGGTCGCTGCCATTCCATTCGACCTCTTGCTCTTCGGCTCCGACACGGACGAGGTAAGAGCGGCCGCAGCCTCAGTGCTACATCTCACACTCAGAAGGAGTTTCTCGATAGTTCTTGTTGCGGGAATGTGACAGATGTTGGATACTAAAATACGTATAAAACCAGTAGCCTGTGTCTAACGAAGAGATCAGAAGTTCATCGATTGTCCTTCAAAATGCATGGGTAACTGTGGTGTAGCTTTCTTTGGTCTGGTATTTCGCCCACATTCCTTTAGTCTGCGGTCTCATTTCGTTCTGAGAATTGCGTCACAGACATTGGGCCGCGTTACCCAGTGTTTAATGACGTTCATTCTGACGTTTCGCCAGAAAAGCGCATATCAATTTCTTGTGAAAAGTGGAAAAAACTTTCGCATGTTGTGTTGTTAAAAAGGATCGTGAAAAGTATGGAAACGAGTCTGGACATTGGGTCTCTTGGTGGACTTACATTTGAAAATTAGTGTTCTTCTAGTGTAAGACTTTAAGACCCTGGGCTCCTCGTGGTGTCAAGAGGCCACATTTCTGTTGCAGTTGTGTGTACATACCTTAAAGAGAATATTCACGGTGAAATCTGCCCCTCCTAGCTTTCGTACACGAGTCTGTTTAAACTTGGTGTAATATTTATATTCTGCAGCTTTACCTTTCTGTCACTGCCAAGCCGTTGCTCAACCATTGCAGCAGGTCTTGTGTGCGCTGCTTCCTGTGAATGGACTGTATGATTATGTAACAGGATTTGATCTGAATGTATTTAAACGTTGCAAGTGCTACAACTTTGTTACGTTTCTGTTGTACTCGCAGCGTAACGGCTCTGTTAGAGTTTAGCGTCTCGGATGTGCTTCTTGTAACGTTTCTGTTATACTCGCAGCGTAACGGCTCTGTTAGAGTTTATCGTCTCGGATGTGCTTCTTGTAACGTTTCTGTTGTACTCGCAGCGTAACGGTTCTGTTACAGTTTAGCGTCTCGGATGTGCTTCTTTGCCAATCACAGTGGCCGCGCGGTCGAAGGCACGAACTGTCTTCGCCCGCTCGAACACTGGGGTCGTGGGTTCAAATCCCACTCCAGGCATGGATGTATGTGTACTTTTATTCTGTGTTTGTGCTGTCCTGTATGTTGGTAGGGGCCTTGCGACGGGCTGATCCCCCGTCCAAGGAACTCTACCGACTGTAGAAGAAGCGGCCAGGGCCCTACAAAGGACTGTACAGCCATTGCTGACGGAATGAGAGTGTGTGTTCCTTTAGGAATTGTTCGTCTCGAGTGCAGTTTTCTTGTCAAAAAAGAAAACCTTCACGTAGTGTCATGATGCTGCCTGTCAGCACTAATTTGTTTGTTTCCAGCGTGACAGTTCGCAGCCTGAGAGTCGCTGTGAGATTCCTGTGAGAATGAAGAACCGTTTCGATGGTTTAGCTGCGACCTGGCAGAACTGTCTTTCGTGTGATGTTCTCTATTGTTGCATTGAGAGTTAGGTTCGATATCCGTTAGTGTTGCATGCTGTTAGAATGTGGCCTTAGAGCCATTATTGAGCATTGGACATGAGGAGCATCAGTTACTATGATTTCACGATGTATAGTAATTTTATTTTCTCAGTAGCTTCATGTGCGAATGTTGTTGTTTTATGTAGACTTTTATATTCTTACAGTTGGGCTTGGATGCTGATGAGGTTAGTTGTGATACAAAACAATTTTGTTCAGCTTGTAGGAATGACGCAGTTGAAACGCTTGTTGATGTTGGTTCCAGAGCATTCAGAAATAAGCTGTAGTGGTTTATTGATGTTGTCACTGCGCAAATAAGTGTTTACTTTTTATTTCATGTTTTCATGTGTTGCTTATAAGATGTCGCTTATGTGTTTATTGCGTGTGTTGGTGCTTCCTGTTTGTAAAGTACGAACGTTGCCGAACTTCCTGCTGGATCCGGTCTCGCTGCAATAGGCCACATATAAAATATAATTATGGTCTTGTCAATCGACATTTTGCAGTTTGTCGTTTCCCAGAATGAAGTCTGGTAATTACAGTTGCGTTTCGTTATAGGTTTAACGATTATAGTCAAGCAGTATCTGCAAACGGCGGCGTTACGTGTTAGAGAAAATACTTCTCTGTGATTATAGCAGGAAATGTCTGGCGCAGCGCTCGTCAAAACATCAAGCAAACCCTTGCTAATCTGAATTAACTGGGAGATGTCATCCGGATTAAGCGATAATCTGGGTTTATGAAGCGAAATATAGCCATAAAACAAAAAAATGGAAAATTTAATAATATAGATAGTATTGATGAAAACAGACAAATATTTGTCACTCCAGCAATTTCTTCCTCTGTCAGAAGCTGAAATTCAGGGTCTCTTCCATCCAGGTGAACCCAATCTCGGATATTTCCTTGTGCGGTTTCAGTCTCTCCAGCTGCCCTCAACACAGCCTGAAAGTCCTCTCGCTCCAATCCCCCTTGCTCCTGTACTCAAGCCGCCTTGTGCGGTTTCAGTCTCTCCAGCTGCCCTCAACACAGCCTGAAAGTCCTCTCGCTCCAATCCCCCTTGCTCCTGTACTCAAGCCGCCTTGCGCGGTTTCAGTCTCTCCAGCTGCCCTCAACACAGCCTGAAAGTCCTCTCGCTCCAATCCCCCTTGCTCCTGTACTCAAGCCGCCTTGCGCGGTTTCAGTCTCTCCAGCTGCCCTCAACACAGCCTGAAAGTCCTCTCGCTCCAATCCCCCTTGCTCCTGTACTCAAGCCGCCTTGCGCGGTTTCAGTCTCTCCAGCTGCCCTCAACACAGCCTGAAAGTCCTCTCGCTCCAATCCCCCTTGCTCCTGTACTCAAGCCGCCTTGCGCGGTTTCAGTCTCTCCAGCTGCCCTCAACACAGCCTGAAAGTCCTCTCGCTCCAATCCCCCTTGCTCCTGTACTCAAGCCGCCTTGCGCGGTTTCAGTCTCTCCAGCTGCCCTCAACACAGCCTGAAAGTCCTCTCGCTCCAATCCCCCTTGCTCCTGTACTCAAGCCGCCTTGCGCGGTTTCAGTCTCTCCAGCTGCCCTCAACACAGCCTGAAAGTCCTCTCGCTCCAATCCCCCTTGCTCCTGTACTCAAGCCGCCTTGCGCGGTTTCAGTCTCTCCAGCTGCCCTCAACACAGCCTGAAAGTCCTCTCGCTCCAATCCCCCTTGCTCCTGTACTCAAGCCGCCTTGCGCGGTTTCAGTCTCTCCAGCTGCCCTCAACACAGCCTGAAAGTCCTCTCGCTCCAATCCCCCTTGCTCCTGTACTCAAGCCGCCTTGCGCGGTTTCAGTCTCTCCAGCTGCCCTCAACACAGCCTGAAAGTCCTCTCGCTCCAATCCCCCTTGCTCCTGTACTCAAGCCGCCTTGCGCGGTTTCAGTCTCTCCAGCTGCCCTCAACACAGCCTGAAAGTCCTCTCGCTCCAATCCCCCTTGCTCCTGTACTCAAGCCGCCTTGCGCGGTTTCAGTCTCTCCAGCTGCCCTCAACACAGCCTGAAAGTCCTCTCGCTCCAATCCCCCTTGCTCCTGTACTCAAGCCGCCTTGCGCGGTTTCAGTCTCTCCAGCTGCCCTCAACACAGCCTGAAAGTCCTCTCGCTCCAATCCCCCTTGCTCCTGTACTCAAGCCGCCTTGCGCGGTTTCAGTCTCTCCAGCTGCCCTCAACACAGCCTGAAAGTCCTCTCGCTCCAATCCCCCTTGCTCCTGTACTCAAGCCGCCTTGCGCGGTTTCAGTCTCTCCAGCTGCCCTCAACACAGCCTGAAAGTCCTCTCGCTCCAATCCCCCTTGCTCCTGTACTCAAGCCGCCTTGCGCGGTTTCAGTCTCTCCAGCTGCCCTCAACACAGCCTGAAAGTCCTCTCGCTCCAATCCCCCTTGCTCCTGTACTCAAGCCGCCTTGCGCGGTTTCAGTCTCTCCAGCTGCCCTCAACACAGCCTGAAAGTCCTCTCGCTCCAATCCCCCTTGCTCCTGTACTCAAGCCGCCTTGCGCGGTTTCAGTCTCTCCAGCTGCCCTCAACACAGCCTGAAAGTCCTCTCGCTCCAATCCCCCTTGCTCCTGTACTCAAGCCGCCTTGCGCGGTTTCAGTCTCTCCAGCTGCCCTCAACACAGCCTGAAAGTCCTCTCGCTCCAATCCCCCTTGCTCCTGTACTCAAGCCGCCTTGCGCGGTTTCAGTCTCTCCAGCTGCCCTCAACACAGCCTGAAAGTCCTCTCGCTCCAATCCCCCTTGCTCCTGTACTCAAGCCGCCTTGCGCGGTTTCAGTCTCTCCAGCTGCCCTCAACACAGCCTGAAAGTCCTCTCGCTCCAATCCCCCTTGCTCCTGTACTCAAGCCGCCTTGCGCGGTTTCAGTCTCTCCAGCTGCCCTCAACACAGCCTGAAAGTCCTCTCGCTCCAATCCCCCTTGCTCCTGTACTCAAGCCGCCTTGCGCGGTTTCAGTCTCTCCAGCTGCCCTCAACACAGCCTGAAAGTCCTCTCGCTCCAATCCCCCTTGCTCCTGTACTCAAGCCGCCTTGCGCGGTTTCAGTCTCTCCAGCTGCCCTCAACACAGCCTGAAAGTCCTCTCGCTCCAATCCCCCTTGCTCCTGTACTCAAGCCGCCTTGCGCGGTTTCAGTCTCTCCAGCTGCCCTCAACACAGCCTGAAAGTCCTCTCGCTCCAATCCCCCTTGCTCCTGTACTCAAGCCGCCTTGCGCGGTTTCAGTCTCTCCAGCTGCCCTCAACACAGCCTGAAAGTCCTCTCGCTCCAATCCCCCTTGCTCCTGTACTCAAGCCGCCTTGCGCGGTTTCAGTCTCTCCAGCTGCCCTCAACACAGTCTGAAAGTCCTCTCGCTCCAATTCCTCTGGCTCCTGTACTTAACTGTGAACATACTTCTTCATACTTCGATCGGCATAATCCGACATCCGGATTAACTGTAGCCGGATTAGCAAGGGTTTACTGTTTTGTGTGTACTTGGTTCGACTCACCTTTCATTTGAAATGCACATCGATTGTTTCTCTGTTGGTACTGGCTGTAGCGAATGTCCGTGTTCTGTCCTTACAGACAGATATGCCCCTGCATCATAGCAACGCAGCCAGAGTGTGACAGTGTGACTGTTTGTTTCACGCACTTGCCGCTCATTGTTACCGCCCTTATGCTTACCGTCTTCTGATTCGGGGTTAGCAGGAGACAGATTTGTGCTGGCCAGCGGATCGTAGGGTTCAGGAATTCAGAGCAGTAATCATTATGCTTTAAAAATAATCCGTAATCTTGATTTTATTTCATGTAACCACACAGCTGTTCCCTCGTGAGTGTGCACAGAGTTTGGCAACATTTCATACAGAATCCACTGAGCAAGGAGCACAACATCTGGACAGCCTCGTCGTTTGAGCTTGTTTGCTCACGAAACCATCTCAGATCTAAGGGACTTTGACAACGGCGGGTTACACTAGGCGCTACTAAGTGTTCATTTGCTAGTATTCTGAAAGAGTACAACGTTTCGGAATCTGGATCGGTTTACGTCGTCAGGTGAAATGGGCCAGTGAGTGAGATTAGTTCCTTTTAATGAATACAACTTAATAGGTGCCCAACTACGCTTTCGCCTGAGGACGGAAACAAATCCAGGAACCGAAACGTGTACTGTCAGAACACTAGACGATGGACAGAGTACAGGGAAACTGTAGCCCCGAATGACAGAATGTTCCAATGGGGAGGGGGCGTGGCAGGGCGTGCTACCGAAACAACGAGCCAATCCTGTGCCAGCAGACAACACATACCCCAGTTCAAGATACCGAGACCGGAGAACAAGGGCGACTCACTCAGAGCAGCTCCCGAATTGGTACTTATTAATCATGCAGAAATTTGCGGATGAAAGCAAACTATGTGAGTACATACCCTCCGCCTGGAGACACAGCCGGCAGGAGTTGCAGTAATTGGAGAAATGGCGCGACCTGTTCACCACTGCAGAGTATAGCGTTGCCAAGTCTCGTTTTCATGGGTAAATTGTTGCTTGTTTTATAATTGTTAGTTTGGGGCTTCCCCCGAATGTGTAAAATGGAATAACTTGCTAAGAAACTGTGAAGAAAGCAGTCTTTGGAGATGTGGCGTCGTGCAGATATTGTGTTAACCGACGTTTCGGAGGAACGTATCGCCTTCATCTTCAGGGTAGAAGACAAGAAAAATCTGCGAGCGAACCAGCGTGAGCAGATGCAACAGACACTTGGAGTATTGGCTTATAAACGCTTCATAAGAAAAGAGACGTTCTCATTGTAACAGCTTGAATAGCCCACCGGCCTGCTGACCGCAGTGAATCGCACAGGCCTGTAGGCCCGCTTGTGAAGTCATCGGCAGAGAAGAAGTTGCAACACGCGTCCCTTCAAATTTAAGGTCACTCCCTCTGATTTGGTTTGACGACATTCGAACTGTCGCCGTCCGGAAGAGCAGGCTGTAGTAACGTCTGTGTGCCGCAGGGCAGAACCGTAAGCACGATCAAGATTACTCACTTTGTATGAGTATGAAGGGGAGATATTTACATTAAAACCATTAGAATTCCGGTACAGGTTTTAGCAGCTGTGTCTGTAAGGAAATGTTAGGCACACACAGAATCTTTCAAGTACTTTTACAGGTATAGATAAGGGCTGGGAATTGGGGCGTGGTGATGCATGGGGCACACTTGGTTCCAGAGTGCTTCGTCTTGAGGAAGCCACGAGCATTACTATCGCTCCTAACAGCAATAGACGTAGGGACGAATTCTTGAGCCTGCATTGGGAATAATTCCCCACTGATGTGTGCTGGTCGTTTCTCCGAGCGTTTCTTCAGGAATGAGGCCTGCGCCTTGTTCTGAAAAGCTATTTGCACCCCCGTTCCCAATGGTATATAGAAAGTGCTCCCTGACTTGGTATCTGCATTACAGTAAACCCTTGCTAAGCTGTAGTAATGGGAGGAAGGGTCGAACTGATTAAGCGATACAAGACAAAGCAACTTGGAACACAAATAAATGGAAAATTTAATGACATATAAGCAGTGCCGATGAAAATAAATAAAAAATATCACTGTATGACCTTTATTTAAAATTTATAAAAACAACTAATTTGTTCTTCGGTAGAGAACTCGGAACTTATTTTTATTTTTGAACTTAATAATGCAAGTTGGAAGAAACTGTCAAGTTTTGTCTGAACAGACAAGTGACTCATCTGCCTTCCGAACTCCCAAGCGTCTTTTAAAGTACGTACTCAACTGTGAACAGAATCTTTTCATATTTCGATCCTGGTTATCCGACGTCCGGATTAACTGTAACGGCATTAGCGAGGGTTTGCTGTGACTTGTGTTGTGATTCTGCGTGCGATGTTCCCAGACGACCACCCTCATCGGCCTGCTGAAGACCGCCCGTCTGCTGCGGTTGGTCCGAGTCGCCCGCAAGATTGACCGCTACTCCGAGTATGGCGCTGCTGTACTCCTGCTGCTCATGGCAACGTTTGCTCTCATCGCTCATTGGCTGGCCTGCATCTGGTAAGTCTGTGGAAATTTCAAGAAGTCGCGAACGCAGAGTCGAATTATCGTTTTTTTCCGCGAGATGTGAACACAGAGAGAGAAAATCTCGTTTATTATGAAAAGTTGCGTAGGGCTTCCATACCTGGACGTGGGGTGCCATCTGCGGCCCCCTGTGCCCATCTTTCTGGAGAAGAATCGAAGTTGAGGGATAGGGGGGAAGAAAAGGAAATATGATGCAAGATTTGAGGTTTTCATGGCGGTGACCATGAAGAATGTCGTCTTCTGGGATGTGGTGTCGTGTACATCTTGTGTGAACCGACGTTTCGGAGGAACATATTGACTTCATCTTCAGGGTATACAAATTTGCGAGCGAGGAACCAACCCTGAAGATGGAGGCGATACGTTACTCCAAAACGTCGGTTCACACACGATCCACGCGGCGCCACATCCCAGAAGACTATATGCTTCAGGAAAAATGTTAATACCAGAAATTCAAATTACCATTTAAAATTGTTATTCTTCTAACCTGAATACAGAGCATGACCACAAAAATAACCTGAAATATCTTGAACGTAAATTTGTAGGCGAATTTTGTATCCCCAGTGGTGGCACCCACCCATATGAGAGTTTTCTCCAGAAACCCGGGCAGCTGGCAGTGTTCAGTACCCTGCGAGGCAGCTGTGCATTGCCATTTTGTTTCAAGTGCGTGGCTACCTGTTATTCAGCTTATGTTGACATCTTGCTCTGTCCCGCTGGACGTAGCTGACAGTGGTACAGTCTTCTGGGATGTGGTGCCACGGAGAACACTGTTACAGGCCATGGAGGCCCACAGGGCTGTGAGACATTGAGGTTCTCACATTTTATAGACAGTCAGCTCACAAATGGTGGTAAGGCTCTCAGCCCTACATGCCGTCCGCCCTTTACCCCCAGGAAGATTTCTGTTGGTCTGTTAGATGCTGTGTCAACCTGAGGGCCATGATGATGCTGGAAGGATTAGACCAATTGAAAAATCCAGTGACCTCATCGAGAATCGAATCCGCGACCTTCTGGCTTGTAGCGCTGCCACCTTAGCATACTGGGAGTTTATTGATACACACTGTCTCCATCATCAAGGCTGAAGAGTGAGCCAGGCAAGTGACAGGCACCCAGCATGAACAGCTCATGTTGCTTGCTGGGCTTATTCTCCCACTCTCACACTCTGAAGATGGAGGCAGTGTGTTCCTCCAAATCATTGGTAAATTTCTATCATACTTCACGGCGTCATATGCCAAAATCTGGTACTCTTCGTGATCACCACTGTGACACCTAACATGGGTGATGAAAGTTAGGTTACTTCAGTTTTAATTACATTCACTTAGTGTTTCAGTATGTGGATGTTATGGCTAATTTTTTCTATCATCATTCTGAAGGTGTTCTCAATAATTTCCATTTAAGATTTCTTCAGCTAAAAATTGTGTGCAGCTTATGCAGAGGTTAGAGCAGTTTCAGTGCCACAATAAGCTGACAGCACAGAGTTTGGCTTCCAAAATATTTACCCTGGCCCTTGGCCTTCATGCTTGATGATCATGTGACCAGCATTGAAAGCTATTTGTGTCTGTAAAGCCAGTTCCCCATTATATTTCAAGACCATCCCTTGAAACCCACAGTTGTTGCTGATATTCACAGACAGAAAATGTTCTGATGTTGCAGGTACGCAATTGGACATGCAGAGCGCCCTCTGCTCAAAAGCAAAGTGGGCTGGCTGGACATCCTGGCCAATGATACACACCAGTTCTACTATGCCAACAATACAGGCGGGCCTTCCATAAAGGTATATTGGACACCTCTGAAGTTGGTGAAATTTCTGTAAATACGCAGATACATACATTTTGTGGAAAGGCTGTCCAGTGGCAAGTGTACAAAATTCTTTGCAAACCCGCAGCATAATTTTTAAGTGAAAACTAACTGTCACACAAATTTACACTACTCCCCCCCCAATATACACTATACATTAAACCATAAATGATCATCTTGACGGAACATTCACATATATTAGCCAAGTGCATATATAAACTGCAAATACAGATTTGTTAAAATGTGGTTTTAATAATAAAAAATGAGGTTGGATTTGGCTTAATCTCTCAAAGATGAGAGCATGAAATTGGCAGTATTCTCCAGTGTATGTGCTATTTACTTATAGTTTCCTACATAACTTGGCATTTCACCCTCCTCTGTTTTATTTTCCTCATCTTTCTATAGCTTTCTTGGCCAATAAATTAAAACTCTGTGTTGTGCATTAGTTTGTTTTCTGTGGTTAAGTTTGAGCAACGGTTAATTTTATAGCATAAAAATAAACAAACAGGATGGGATATTGTAAAAAGATTACAGTATCATATTTGTAACAATTCATTTCTTCTCATTCATAAAGTCTTCTTTTAGAGACTGAGTAGCTGCTGCAGTGTGCAGAACATTACCTTGTTTGTTTCAGCACAATCATCTTTTGTTTGAAAGGTCAAATTGCAGATTAATCAAATCTTTGAACTTTTAAGATGCTCGAAGCACAAACTGTTATTGTTTCTTAAGAGCTGTGTAGAATTAAGACACGTCCACTGCTGTGTGCCTGTTCTGACATTTTACCTTCTGGGCTAGTCATTTTCCCATCAGAACAAGTTGAACATGCAGCATTCAGAATAGAAATTTAGGGAACAGTCAAAAAACAATTGACAGTCGATGTGTGGTCTAACTCATACAAGCTGTAACAAGCTATACTTGAAGTGTCTGACCTCTTGAGTGACATCTGGAGGAGAAAATAAATGACATTTGCTTGACTGGATAGCTTTGGTGCACAGTAAACTTAGTCTGTCAGTTGATGTGACTGACAGCTAATGTATTGACATAAATATTTATCACAGTGAAACACTAGTAAAATCGTTAAATGTGTCAGTACACTGTACATTATTGGAATTTGATTGTTACGTGCAAGTATAGCCCACACTCTTATGTTAACCCCACATTCCAACTAAAGAGCAGTATGTAAAGGTTAGTAAATAAGTAAGCCCAGAAGAATCTGTAGACATTGTTTTCTGGTTGTATTGCTGAAGGAGCTGCATTACTATGATGAAATCATTCACAAAGCCTAGAAGTGTCTGAGAATATTTGTTGTAGGGTCATATAATTTTCTCAGTTACAAAAAACTGGTATCCAAAACAATCCTGTATCTGAAGATAGTGAGATATTCTTTTGTTTATAGTCACGGTACATCACCGCCCTCTACTTCACATTCAGCAGTCTCACATCTGTGGGGTTTGGCAACGTGGCACCAAACACTGATGCAGAAAAGGTCTTTACCATCTGTGTGATGCTCGTCGGATGTAAGTATACTCGCTCACTAGAAAGAACCTGGTGATTCTCACAAACATGGCTCGAATACATATCCAGAATGGCGGTCACTTGGAGTTCATGACCTTCAGCTTTTGAGGATGGAAGAGTTAGCCAAGTGTGGCTAAAGTAGTACAAATACAGTGAAAACCAGGGCCATCACTGCGTTCCTGAGCAAAGCAGATCAGTGTATAATATATTGGGCCTTTGAAGGGGGAGGCGCAGAATGCTTACTGTTCTCCTTCTTGTCATTGGTTTTTTAACGGGTCCTGGTAATGGTTCCCCCTCTTCCTATATCTCTATCACTTTTCCCACTTTCTTTTCTGTCCTGAAGTCAGAGGCACAGTATCATGCCCAGAAATAATGTAATTTGTTGTTCTGCCATGTTGAAGTTTTCTTCACCTAGAGTAGATCAGATGAAGTGCCGAATTACCCTTTTAACCTCTCAGTTTTCTTCCATTGCAAAGTAAGATATTCGTTCATAAGTGAAATTTGAGATCTCTCCATTCTGGACTTGTGTTGTCAGCAGAAAGTATAGTGAGCAAGGTGACTTGGACAGTAATAAGAAGTGCCTAGACCCATCATTATAAAAGCGTTATAATACTTGACACTGTTTTCATCTTGCAGCACTTATGTATGCTAGTATATTTGGCAATGTCTCGGCAATCATCCAGCGGTTGTACTCGGGCACTGCACGCTACCATACTCAGATGTTGCGCGTGCGTGAGTTCATCCGCTTCCACCAGATCCCCAACCCGCTGCGACAGCGCCTCGAAGAGTACTTTCAGGTGAGTCATTTCACTGCTGACCCTGAGTATGCTGGTCTGCGGTTTTCACAGAATGTTTCCTAATACAATTGAAATACACGCCGTGTAAACTTCTGCATATCACTCTGAAACTGGAAGATTATTCTGAAAGCTGTCAGAGTGTAACTGTGCACTAACTTGAAAGTAATCTCCGAAAAATATGGACTGTTAGATTCCTCATTTTTTTAGAATAGTTACAGAGAGAGCTAGACCTGAATTCCCAAAATATCGCCCCTTCATTCGAGACCAATGTATGAACTGCGATGTATTTGGGAGGAAGAATCAACCAAGATGCTATGCTAGAATTTGCCAGGAGGGACTGAGGAAAACTGAAAAATCTGAATCAGTATGGCTGGTATACTGGCTTAGATTTGAACCGAACACCTCCAAATACAAGTCTACAGAGTTGCTGCTATACCAACGTGCTTGTTGTTATCAGTAGCATAACATGGCACTAGTCATGACTGTATGGGATGGGTTGTGGTCTGCATTAAGGGAATAATAGAGATTAAAAAGGTAAAGGAGGTAAAGCTATTCCTGTAATAGGCCATGGAGGCCCAAAGGGTTGTGGAATGTCAAGGTTCCCACATTTTCCAATCAAAAGTTCAATACATTGCCATACTTGTCATATAAAGTCATCTTCCATGATTTCTGAGCGTCATTCTGAAGGAATTCCCCTGCTACAGGAGATTTCTGTTATACGAAGTGTTACATTCTTAAAGTCGCCACATGTATCTGAGGCATGTCATATTGGAAACATGGAATGTGCACTCAGTATGGTAGAGAGGAGTAGGAAATGACATGACTGAGCTGAAAGTATGGGGCGAGCCAGGGGGAACTTGGCATGTGCATGGCCACGGATAGGACATGGCGGATGCTTCCATGACACAGAAACAAAACTGAGGATAATGTAAGTCGGTATGATTGGTCACCTCTATTCTTATATTGACACAATTATTTACACTTAAAATACTTCAGTGCTCTAGAAAGTAATTATTTCAGGACAGCAAACAGCAGCACGCATGCTGCATGGTATCAGCTGAGCTAGGACTGACTGGCTTATGCAACATCCAGGGTAATGGATCTGAATTAATGAGGCTTTACTTTATTTGTATATACTTCCTCCTCCTCCCTGTACCTCCCCCTCCTCCTCCACCTTGCTGAATTAATTAATTCTCAAATTATTTTTCTGTAAATATTTTACATTCATTTGCTGATAACCAGTTCTGTCTCCAACAAAGAAACTCTAATAGTACCACAAAGCTATTTCATTACTCAAAACGGCATGTATCCATGCATTAACATTTTTGAGGCGTGCATTATGTGACCAGCCGCCAAACTATGCCATGTAGATGATGTCAGAATGTTAACTGTTGAATTCTTGCAGCATGCCTGGACGTACACAAATGGTATCGACATGAACAGTGTACTGAAGGGGTTTCCTGAGTGCCTTCAAGCCGACATTTGCCTGCACCTAAACAGGAACCTGCTCACCAACTGCTCTGCCTTCGAGGGGGCCTCGCCTGGCTGCCTCAGGTACTTGACTTGCAGGAAGCATTTCACAATGAACTTGTTTGAACTGTGTAAGGGAGTTAGGATGTTACCTAGTGAAGAACCCTGTGGTCTGTACATCTTGTCTGGTATTGGGAGGTTAGAGAAAACTAGGAGACTGTTATAGACAGGTAAAAGGGTAAGCTGTTCCTGAAACAGACGATGGAGGGCATAGGGATCGGCTCACAGATGGCAGTGAGGTTGTCAGCCTTATGCTCTGGGCGCCCCTTCCTCCCAGGAATATTCCTGGTACTCATTTCCGTTAGATGCTGGGTTGACCCCAGGGCCATACTGTGGCATGAAGGACTCAGTCAATTGAAAAATCCAGTGACTTAATCTGGAAACGAATGTGCACGTAGCATTGTCCCTCAACCAATTATGCCACCACATGCCCCTAGGTTGAATGTGCACCCGAGAAATTATACTTAATTTTGATAATGAGACTCCTGGATTGAAGCCATTTAAAAGATGTGAGGAGAATACAGAGTGTCTGAAATGAACACAGCCTATGAAGAAACTGAGTAACTTCACTCCCAGTGAAGATGCAGGCAAACTGTGTGAGGTGAGAGGTGTAAGAACTCACCTAGTGTTGTGCTGGTAGCTGTTGGTAAGGTGCTCATGCACAATTGCCATGAGTTGGTGTATACAAAATAGCATCATTCACACTGCAACAAAATGCTGTCAGAATTTAAGTTTCCCATGACTGTTCAGTTGAAGTTTCAGCAGAAGTACAGCTGTGATCCGCAAACAGACACAATTGTTAACTGGCTCCAGCATTTGCCGCAATGTGGCTGGCACCTGAACAAGTCAGAGCCAGTGGGGAACTTTCCAGTGAAGTCTGCAGAAGTCCATTTGGTGAGCAAGTGGTAAACTTTTGAATTACCTGTTCACCAGTCCATGACATAGTAAGTACATGAGCAGCTGCACTGGGGGCTTACGAATTGCAGTTACTTCAGAAAATACAGGAACACGGCTTCTCATGGTGCTGCGACTACATTATTTATCAGATGTATAATGATAGTGACTGTCTCAAGAGAGTGTGCGTCGGTGACAAGGCTACTTTTCACATCTCAGGTAAAGTTATCCAGTGTAATTTTCGCATTTGGGGATCTCAGAATTCTCATGATGTGGGAGAACAAGAATAGGGTAGCTTGAAACTGAATGTGCAGTGTGGGTTAGTCTGTGCTGGAGTGACCAGACCAGTCTTCTTCCATAAAGTAAAATCTGCCTTGATATGCTGTGCCACAGGCACCTGACAGCTACAGCTTTCAGGAAATGGGCCACCACCACATTTCTGGCATGTGTCACTGAATTCCTCCATGAACAATTCACAGGAATGTGGACTGGTCATGGTGACCCCTTTCTGTGGCCCCCTCAATTGCCTTATTTGACTCCCCTTGACTTTTTTATATGGGGATACATCAGAAACACGTGTTGGACCAGAGTCAGTGATCTGCCTGATATGCGCTGTAGTCCATCGTCCATGCAGTGGCATCTGTAACTCTGAAGATGTTAAGAAACGCTTGACACAGAATGTCTGTTGGCTGTATGCTGCACCATAAGGTTGGCACATGTGGAGGTCTACTGATGTAACATAGACCTCAGACAGCATGCATGTATCTTCATTATGGAGTGATATCATCAGTTTCTTTATTGGCTGTGTTGGAACCAGGTTGTGAGAGTGGGAGGTAGATTGAACTGGCTCAGGATTGTGTCCATTTGTGGACTTCGTTATTATACGTGTTGAATCTTCAGGTTCTGCAACCAGAGTATTACTCAGTTAGTAAGATGGGTCTTATGGAAATCTGTTCTGAGGTGAGAATGGTAGAGAACAGGCTGAGGATCTCATGTAATTACTAGCAGTGCTGAACCTTAAGGCTCTGCTACCAGATGGGCCTTCTTCCTCTCTGTGGCACCATTTGCATCATCATGAACATTGTACAAACATTTTCAGTATCTAAACGCCTCATGATAGAACTGTTTGGCCCTTGTATTTGACCCCACTGTTTGTTATCATGTTTGGATTTCATAAGAAAATAGTTCCACTTATTTTATTATGTTGCCAAGCAAATCATTTTTGGGGGCACTGATTTTATTCTTTGCCCTCTAGCTCCTAACTACTGAATTGTCAAAAATCATTTAGAGCTTTTATAGAAATTAATAATTGTACATTAAATGATTTGATTTATTCTATGGTAGATTTCTGCGTAGAAATAAAGTGGAATGTACTGTTGTTGGCTGTATGCTTTGAGGTGCCTCATAGGTTATGACATGGGGTAACACTGAATCAGATTTTGAAGGATGCTTATGTACTTCATGCCATTAGCAATGTGAGCAAGAATGGACTGGGTTCTTAGATTTTGCTGGAATTTTTTGGTTACAGGGCCTTGTCCCTCAAGTTCAAGACAACTCACGCACCGCCAGGAGACATCCTAGTGCACAGGGGAGATGTGCTGACGTCCCTCTATTTCATTGCTCGTGGTTCCATTGAGATCATCCAAGATGAAACTGTGATGGCTATCTTGAGTGAGTGCTGTTCTGAGCTAGCCATGCAATGCTCATGCGCTGTCACCCGCATTGGATTCACAGTCGTGTGGAAGCAAAAGAGGCTTAACCTTCTTGTTTAGCTGCTGGTACTGTCCTAGAATTTGCCTTGAGGGGCTGACAATTTAATATGGCACTCAGAAATATCAAGCTTGAGTTTTAACCAGTGTGTATTGTGATGCTGAATTGTGTTTTGGAGATGTTCATATGGAAAGTGGACACGGAGATAGGCTCTCTCACTGAGGTATCTGTATATGATGGGCTGGCACATCAGAATATGCCACTATTGTCATGACATGCCACATTATTCCCATTGCCACACAATCTGTGCAGTCACTTACTTCAGTAAATGAACTTGATTCACTGTCTTTAAAAAATCTTTAAACAGCTGGAAGGAAGTAGTTTAAGAATTCGAACAGTAATAGAATGTTGGTAGTACTGATCACATGCACCTACTTTTCACTAAGTTTCATTCTTTACTGAGTGGATATAATGCACATGGTCTTGCCTTTTGATTTATTCAGGCAGCAGTCAGTGCCATGTGTCAATCGTGTATTTATACACGGACTTAAAAGCTTCAGCCTTTTGAAGAATCTGAACAGCAGGTTCTTCTTGCAACATGGCAAGTGTTCATCAGTACAACTGTCATGTCCCAGTTGTGTCTGTCCACTGTCAATTTCTTGTTTTGTTGTGTTTTGTGCATCTTTGGTGTAGGATGTGCCTAATATTACTTCTACATTGACGCATAGGCTTTCCAGTGATCTTTGGCCTGAGGTTTTCTGACCCAAGTTTAGTAAGCATTTCAATTTTTTCACTGAACATGTTCGTCAGTACTAGCACTATAGAAATGTTTTATAGAAGTACTTGATTCAAATCTCAGCTGGGATAATAGTTAATCTGACTGAATTTGTTTATGTTTTTCCTTGGTCTCTCCAGAAAAATGCCTGTATTGTACCTCACTGAGGCTGTGGCAACTTCCTTCCAAATTCCCATTCAACTGTCATCCTAATATTCAGTACTGGAACTGCTATCAAGTCATCATCATCATCATAATCATCATCATCAGTAATCTGTCAAGACGACAGGTCCACAGTCTCTTCCAAAACAATTCCTCCACTTAATGCGATCTAGAGCTTTCTCCTTCAAATGACAGTATCCTCTTCTGTCCCCAAGGTCATCCAGCATCTTCTTACGTCTTCTTCCTCGTCTTCTTGTCACTTCTATCCGCCCCTCTATCTTTCCTTCGATAACTTCTTTTAGAAGGCAGTTTCTGCGTAAAACATGACCAATCCAATTAGCCTTCCGTTTTCTTATTTCGTGTAGGATATTCCTCTGCTCACTGACTCTAATTAACACTTCTTCATTTCTCACATAATCGGTCCAACTGATCTTCTCCATTCTTCTCCAACACCACATTTCGAAACTTTCCAGATGTTTCTGATCTACTGCCCTAAGTGTCCATGTTTCAGCCCCATACAGAGCTATGCTCCAAATGTAGCATTTCACTAGTTTCTTCCTCAAATTTAAGTCCAATTTGCTGGTAAAAAGATTCTTCTTCTTGCTAAATGCAGCTTTTGCCATGGCAATCCTGGATTTAATTTCACAAGTACACCTTCCATCATCTGTTAACAAGCTACCCAAATATTTAAAACATTTCACATTCTCCAGTTGTTTTTGGTCTATCTTTATTGTGACTGGGGTTGGTTGTCTCGAAATTTTCATTACTTTTGTTTTCTCCACATTCATTTCCATGCCATAGCACCTTCCAATTTCAATTAGTCTATCAATCATGCCCTGTAGCACAGTTTCTTCCTTAGCCATTAACACAAGGTCATCTGCATATTTCACAGTTTGAATAATTTGCCCTCCTACTTTGAAGTCTCTGAGCCCATCCAGAGCTTCCTTGGTTAGGCATTCGCTGTACAAGTTGAACAGAATTGGTGATAAACAGCATCCTTGTCGAACTCCTCTTCCAATCTGCACACTTCCTGTCTCCCCTCTGTCCAGTCGTACTCTAACTTTCTGATCCATGTACAATTTGCTAATCAATCTTCTTTCACGCCAATCAATACCTGTTTGCTATCAATTGACCTGCTGAAAAGAATTGACTTTACCCCCATGCATGCTACATATCCCGCCCAAGTAACCTTCTGAAAAGAATCGACTTTACCCCCATGCATGCTACATATCCCGCCCATTAAATGGACAGTATTCGACCTTATGATGAAATGCTATGGGTCTCCTTCCCAATTTGTGGCGATGGCAATGGGCAGAACCAACACTTGCACCGTTTTACCCACATTTTACAGGTAAGGATGACATATTTGGAGAGAACCCATGTCTGCACCCAACGCTCGGGAAGTCATCATGCAATGTGCGTGCCCTCACATACTGCGACCTGCACAAGATTCATCGAGATGATCTCCTGGATGTGCTGGACTTGTACCCAGAGTTTTACCAGACCTTCTCGAGCAATCTGGAGATCACCTTCAACATGCGGGACGTAAGTGCCACGCATTAGGCAAAGTTACTGCATGACAAACTGCACCATTGCTCTAATAGCCTGCTGTTGGACATACGTAACTCCTTAATATGCATTTGTCCCTGATTCAGATATTTAGGGTCTGTGGAGTTCCACTACTCTTGTTTGTTCTGTGATGCTCTTGTTACTCGTGTCTTTATGGCACTAACTGATTACAGAAGGAGCAGGCAGGGGTGGATCCACGGGCTGCACGCCACCGCACAGGAGCCATTGCTTCACGCTCCAGCTCACAAGACAGGGACTCAGACGTTCGGAAGTATGCATATAGGCCCCCACGCCACCGGGGTCAGCGCTCTCTGTCCGCGGGCATGAATGGAGCCGCAAATGCAGGACTTATCAACAGCAGGGAGTCTAGTGATGATGGCAGTGACTAGTGAGTGGAATTCATGTCTGTGTTCTCGTGTATTGTTCTCACACTGGCTGTAGCTGCGCCTCTGGTTTTGTTCAGTAGCAGAGCTGTCACTGCCCTGACATTGGTAGGAAATTTTCGTTGTAACACCTTATAGTCTAGTGAATCACTACCAAGGTTCTGGAGGATCATACTCTTTCAGGGTAGATGAGTTACTTTCCTACCCTGAAGATGGAGTTGGCACTTCCTCTAAAACATCAGTATTGACCAACCAGACTACATGGCATCACACACTAGAAATGTTTTAAGTAACCACCATGAGATCCTCAGATTTTGCAAGAGAGATCTCAGTTTTCAAAACATAGAACACAGATGTTTTAAGAGATATCCTGAGCTGTTAAATTTCTTAATACACGAATGGGTAGTAAGGTACATCAAGTGTAACAAGACTGGTATTAGCCACTGCTGGCCATCATCAGAACAAACAACCAACACTGCAAAGAAATATTTTATATTTATATTGAACATAGGTTGTCATAAATGGATTTCTGCTGTTAGAAACTGAGACTAGATGAAAATATTGTAATTAAAACATTTTAAGTAAAAAAGTAAAAGGTAAAGCTATCCCTGTAACAGGCCATGAAGGCCCATAAGGTTGTGAGAAGCTGAGGGTCCCACATCATCTAGACAGTCGGCTCAAAGATGGCAGTAAGGTTGTCAGCCTTACACGCTGGTCGCACCTTATTCCGCAGGAAAATTATTTAATTAATTCCTCGTACTCATTTCAGTTAGAGGCTGAGTCGACCCCATGGCCATAGTGCAGCCAGGAGGATTAGATCAATTGAAAAAAATCCAATAACCTCATCAGGACTTGAACCCGCGACCTTCCAGCTTGTAGCATAGTGCCTCAACCAGCTACGCTACCGCATGCCCCCAATTAAAATATGTTATGTTTGTTAATAACAAGTAGTCAGTAATAGAATTAATTATAAGTCTTGTTGTGTAAACACATGAGCATAATGATGGTCCTGTTCTTCTGCTGGTATGGAGAATATCTTGTGTAGTTGGCTGTATGCTCATCTGTGCGAAGTTGTTGTGTGTATTCTGGCAAAGTACGTCGCAGTCAGCTAACAGTATCTGCCGTTGTGGACATGTAGTTCTCTGCAGTGTTGGCTGCTCCTTCTCATGGCCAGCAGTGGCTGAAACTTACATATGCACTCTTCTCCATTCTCATACTAATTTTGTTGCACTTGAGGGCCCATGCAGACTCCAAAGCTCCCAAACTGTAGCTATGGCAGAGCAGTGAGAAGACAGGGATGTGACATGCCTGAAAGCTACTGATCTCTGATAGCCGCATGAGGGGCCGTGAACAGGGAGAGCTGATGTCTTTAGGTTTATATTTTCATTTATATTTATAGAAGGAGAGGTGAACAGATTGTTCATCTGAGGTCTGAGCACAGTATCAACGACTTTCTCCTAGTATTAATTGTGGTAAGGGAAAGGTAAAGTTGCCCCAGTGCTTAATTAGTTAAGCGCCATGCCATGAAGACATTCTTACCAGAATGTTAGGTGGGCTGTACAAAAATAAATTATGTCATGTTGTCCAGTGCCACAGCAACTGTTATACAGAATCATGTTCACTTTAGCCAGTTGGTGTTGTGTACGCAGTGAGAAGTCTGGTCACGGCATCCTTGAATTCTCAACAGACAAGGCAGGTCAGGATGTGACACCTCTCAACTTGGAATTTGGTGAGGAGGACAAACAGCAGCACAAGTCAAGCAGTGGAGCTCTCAATTCCATCACAGGTATGTTCTGCACTGCACTGCATGGCGCAGTCATGTGGCATGTGTCCGCGCTACTCTCTGAAGCAAGAGGAAAACATTGCATTCATTGTTATTACTGAAAGCAGTTAGCGACACTTACACGGGGATATGGTCTTGTAACTCATATTTTAAATGTACGTACAGGTGTGCTGTTTGTATGAGATCAGTTCTGCTTCTTAGCTCTTCAGTTGAGCTTACGCTTTACATCTGAAAACTTAAATTTCATGTGCTGTGTTTGTTCTTATGTTGCGTGGATCAGAATTGCCACCAAAATACATGTAAAATGCACACAGATACTGTTGACTTAGTGACACATATATCTATACATACCAAAATGTATATTTAATTGTGAAGGGTAAAAGTGTTCCATGTTATCTTTGCAGTATTTTCAGCCAGGAATACAGTGTGGGTAAATTTCACATGGCTCAAGTGTTATTTGTTACTGTTGTAATGTTGTTAGCCATTGAATCAGTTTATAGTGAGTCTGTAGTCTGTGGGAGCTAACAAGAACATTTCAAAGTGATGTAGCAGTAGCACTGAGAAATCTGAATGATGGAATTAGATAACCTAGTCCATAGAAATAATTTGTTATCTGCAATGTTAAATTCAGCTGATCGACATAGTTGTGGAGGTGATACCTGCCATATGATTAGTGGTGATATTAGTTGTAATTTTTTTTTTTAATATCACTTCAGTCCTGTTCTTTTAAATGTCTTGGTTGGCCTACCATTATCACTAGTGCTTTGTGACTGGTTTTATTTTTAGAGCTAATTCATAAATGCATCTAGGTGTCAGACATTAGAAATTTAGTAGATTTGAAATAATCTGACATGCAGTATGTTTAAACTGTGGTTTTCAAGCTCAAATTCTTACATTATAAGTGACACTATATTGCATTTGAAATACCAGACCAGAACACATGTTGCTTCGATAGTCAGACTTGGTGGATAATGTGTTGATACTGGCCTGCAGCAGTGTGCTGCAGTTCATCTTGCATGTGTACTCAGGTTTGTAATCAGTGATGTGGTTCTGAGGCATTTTCAAGTAGGCGGTTTGTTCCTTACCCAAACTTACCCATAAGCAGTTGATCTGGATACAGAAAGTCACATATACTATTCATTTGTTTGCATCTTTTGTTCACATTCTGCCCCACAGTGTTCTTGTATCACCAGATGATAATCCTCTGTCATCTAGCGACTAGTTACTATAGCTTGACAACACATGAAGCTTGTGTCACAGATTCTTGTACCTCCTTGGCCCATCTAGGGCTCTCGTTGCATATCAGCACAGCCTTTTTGTTGGTGGGCTATTATGCAGTAGTCTCTGTGTGTTCATTTCCTTTTCTGCCTGGAACAGTAGAGTCACATGTGGAATGTGTAGATTTGTAAGCTGATCAGATGTGTGTAGATGCTGAATTAGCGTTTATATTCATTGATATCAATGCCATCAGTAAAATAATCAGCTTGGCTTCAATTAACAGCATGTCTTGAGATCTCTGACTGATGACTGCCTGGCAAATTGCAACATTTGTGCTGTTGTCACTGAAACCCTGACCCACTGATGGGGCTGGCTTAGCAGTAACACTCATGACTCATATTAGGGAGGTATTTGGTTCCAGTTTTGGCCAGGACACCAGCTGGCCTGACTAACGTCTTTCATGGTTTTTTACAGTCCCTCCATAGAAATACCTTCTTAGGCCACATCCATTTCATTCCAGACTTTCCAATTCATCATTCATCTCTTATCTTACCATTTGATGCTGAATAATCTGGTTATTGTCAGCATTGTAAAGTAACCCCCCCACATGCACACACACACACACACACATTCTCACTTATCAGTGGACTTTAGATTTTCAATTCTGGTCAACACCAAATTAGACCTGTCCAAGAAATTTCAAACCCATGAAGTTCTATTGATGCAGTAGAAATTGTTTGGATCTTTCTTCAACAGGTCAGCTAGAAACATTCAGTATAGCTCCCTCGAAAGAAAAGAAATTGACACCTTGTTGCTTTTATAAATATTTTAATTTTACGTTCAACACAGTGGGCCATTCTTTTCCAATCTGATTAATTTCATGTGCGCTAGAAGTTTTTCAGAATTCCTCTCTCAGTAAATGCTCAGGGTCAGGACCTTCTGATCTTACAAAAATCAGTATGTCTTGATATTTCAACCCAGCAAATTGGCTCTGACTTGTATTTATGCACTGCCTGATTTGAAATTTCAGCTGGGGCACTGATCAATCAATCAATTTATTTGTTCCAAGAATCCATATTTGGTGATACAAGTCAGTAACTACATATTGTACAAAACTTGAACCTACAGATTTCACACACATCAATCATACAATACACCATCCCACCTGCAGCAATTCAATATCCAAAAGAAACCCTGCATCCAAAGATTTTTTATAGATTAAGTGAGGACAAGATATTTGTCATAACATAAAACCATAACAAACTCACTTAAGATTTAAAGGGACATACATTCATCAACAGAATAAATTGAACGTTTCAACAGAAACGAATTTAAGTCCATCTTAAAAGAGTTTAATTTTTCCTTAATTTTATCTGTTCAGGGACCTTATTATACAAGATGATTCCCATATTTATCACACTTTTTTTAAAAAAAGAATTGTATTGCAAAGATTTACATGTAAATTTAGACTGAGGTTTCTTGTGGTTTTCCTTAGTGCCTCAGGGCACATGCCGGGAGTAGTACTTGGTCCTCTTCCTTTCCAATTCATTGTTCACTGTCAGCTATTCATCCAAGGCTGCATAATCTGAGCTACTGACAGTGACATTAAGTATACCACAGATCAGTGAGTTAATAAGAGATCATGATCTGTCACATTTCAGTCCAACTGTTTGTGTCTTGACAGAGTATTAGCAGATCTGGAATACGCAGTTCATCAGTCTCTTAACACACAGTTGAAACATAACAAGACATATGACAATGTTTTTGGAGAAAAATAGCCACAGTTGTAGATAACAGTTTCAAAGTAGTTTTTTAAAGAATACAAGTAGACTTTGGAATCTGTTGTTATGTTTACTTTTCCATTGTCAACTGTATAAAGAACTGTGATGTTTTGAATATACAGAAACCTGTGTGAAACATCAGTTGAAATGCACCATCACCTTTGAAGGCTTCTGGGTTTAACAGTTTTTAACAAACTGTAATTCACTGTGATTTGAAATTGTGCCTACCTCCTGGAATGACTGTGAAATCATGATAAATTTATGTCCTGAGTGTTTGATGAGGTGTCAGTTAACAGTGTTGACATTTAGAATTTCAGAGTCTATTTAGTTGAATGGAGCCAAGTGTTGAGATCATGTGAATACTTTGCACGTTGCATAATTCTGTGGGCTGGGTTCCACCCAAGAGCATTGTGGATTTACTGACTGATGTAGCACATGACAGCCACTGACATCTTTATTTCTATAAATATCTGTAGATTTGAACCATGTTTGTTTGTATATGTTGTGTTTGTTCGCAGCAGGCATGAATTATTGAAATCCTTGTGGTGATTATGTGCAAATCCATTTGTCATGCCCTCTGTTTCTGAAGACAGTTATACATACATAAACCATACATAAATGAAATTGACTGAGCAGGGTCAAGTTAGTGCATGAGTCAGGATAGCTCAGTTGGTATAGCAATGGGCTATGGACAGACTGGACAGCCCTGGTTCAATTCCTGGTGGGGGCAAGAGAGTTTTATTTTCTCCACAACATCCATATTGGCTCTGGGGCCAACCCAGCCTCCTATCCAATGGATACTGGGGGTATTTCCTTGGGGGTAAAGCGGCCAGGGCGTGAAGCTGACTGCTCACCTCCATCATGAGCCAAGGTCAAGAATGGTCGAGCTATACCTCTGTCCCCCGTATGTCTACATGGCCTGGTGCTTAGTTATTTAAGTATAGGGACAACTTTACCTATACCTTTCACAAGGGTCACTCCAAAAGTAATGCACACCATTTTTTTAAATTCAGTTTTTATTCTAGACCTTTACTACTTATACAGTATGTTGATACATCATTTAGGAACAAATTATCGCTTCTCCACATTATCTCCATCCCTTTCAACTGCCTTACACCACCTTGGAACTAGGGCCTGTATGCCAGCATGGTACAATTCTGGACCAGCATCTGAGCCACCCTTTAGTTGCCGTAATGAGGGCATCATCATCTTCAAATCTTGTTCCACGAAGGGATTCCCTCAGTTACCGTGCCACATCAGGGCCATAAGGAGGGTGTGGCAGTGTTGTCCATCCGAGTTTTGTGATCTCATCCTTGCTTTTCTGACCGACATGTTGTCGGGCGTTGTCGCACAACAGCAAAACATCCTGTTTCTGCCAATGCGGTCGAGCATGACTCAGTCGAGCTTCAAGTTTCTTTAGGGTTGCCACGTATATGTCAGAATTATTGGTAGTTCCTTATGGCATGATGACCACAAGCAAAAGCCCTTCTGAATCAAAAAAGACCGTAGCCGTAACTTTTCCTGCCAAAGGCATAGATTTGAATTTCTTTTTCTTGGGTCAGTTCGAATGATGCTATTCCATTGATTGCTGCTTTGTTTATGGTTCAAAATGGCACATCCATGTTTCATCTCCCATCACAATTCTCACAAGAAATACATCTCCACCATTCTCATACTGTGCCAAGAGTTCACAGTATTTTTGGTTTCGTTGTGGGCATCTGTCAACATCCTCGGAACCCACCTTGCAGAAACTTTTTCAACACCATCTGTTTCAGTATTCTGCACACACTTGCTTCCCCAATTCCCAGGTGGACTGACATTTCTTTCACAGCCACACGTCTGTCCTCCAAAACCATATCATTAACAGTCTGCACATTGTCAGGTGTTTGTGCAGTGTGCGGTCTGCCGGTATGAGGACGGTCCCAAATATTGGTGTGCCCACTTTCACCAGATAATCTGCATGGCCACTGACTAACTGAACTGCATTCGACAGTGCCATCTCCATGCACACATTTCAATCTCTTGTGAATGTTCGCCCCCTGTCTCATTCTCACAACACAAGAACTCGTATAACCGCACGTTGCTCTTGCTGAACATCAAATGCAGCAGCCATTTTGAAGGAGTGCTACGACAGTGCTACGCGTGGGATCGGGTTGAATTAAATTTGAATACAAGTTGGAAGGATCCTTCTGTGCACCCTACAAAAAGCAATAATCTAGAATAAAAACTGAATTTTTAAAAAAAATGTGGTGCATTACTTTTGGAGTGACCTGCATATCATGTTAGTGCTTTGTGCTTTGTGGTGTCATGACTCAGCTTGTTGGTTACCAAATTCTCACCATGGGAATCCAAATTCAGTGTGAGTGAAATACACTGTGGGATTTGTGGTGAACAGAGTGATAATGGGGCAGGTTTTTCTCCAAGTACTTTGGTTTCCCCTGCCAATTATCATTCCACCCATGTTTCACCATCATCTACCATCAGAGTCTGGTACAGTAGGCCCATTTGAGGCCACAGTAGCACCCCACTCCCCCAGCTGGTGCAGTGGCCCTCGTGCTGGCAAATGCTCTCTTAAGAACTGGAGCCCTGCCTTTGTGGAAACAAAGACTGAGTATGCATTGGATATGCAGGCATGTTGTCGCACCTGAAACGGAGCCTCAGTGATCTCCGTGGCTTGCACAGATCAGCATCAACAGCCACCGTGACCCAGAGACACCATCAGCATGACAGCACGACCGGTAGGTGACTTGCATACTCACTCTGTGCACTGCGAGATGGCAGCACTGTGACGTTTCAATTCCCATGTTGTATCGTGTTGGTAAACTTGCACTGGGATGTAACTTAATATCACAATATAATGAAGACAATGCTGCGCAGTACAGTGAAATTCAGCCAGCATTTCAGAGGAACTTGTCTCCATCTTCATGGTCAAAGAATGAACCAAGCAGGAAACAAATGTGAAGCAGATAGCAAGCAGAGCTCTGCATGCTTGGCCTATTCTTTGATCCTGAAGATGGAGGTGATATGTTCCTCCGAAACATTGGTTGACTTTCAGCAAAATGCACAGAAGACAGAACTTTTCATAACCACTACTGTGAGAACCTGAAACCCTACATTACTATATATTGTTGTTACCTTCTCTCTTGTGTGGGACAAACTGATTTATGCCACATCTTCCATTTCTCATGTCACTCTGTATACAGTGTTATCTTATTTATAAGGAAAACCGTTGTTACTGCACAATTGCCCAATCAAATGAATGAACTGGTGCTGCCATCTCATCCCACAGTTCACTAATATTCTATATATCGCTGTATTATATGAAGTAGTTTTCACTTTACATGACAGAATGCAGTACTGCAGCATGGTGCATGTATGTCATCTGTGACGTTAGTTTAAATAACCTGATGTGACTATGCTCTTGACATTATCTGCTCATAACATCATGCTTTAAAACAGAGAAATGAAATTACAGTTGTTACACTGTATTTACACAATTTGATTTATCATCTGTTTTAAGCTAAATCTAATGGCTGCGCCATGTAAGAGGCATTTCGGTTCACACTGCTTAAACACTGAAATCGTGGGTTCTAAACTCCCTGCAGACTGATGTGCGTTCTTATGTAGCTACATGCCTCAAAGTAGCCCAAGTATAGCTGTACTGTAACATACAAATGACTGCAGGGACTAGACTTAGAAGAGTAAGTTACGTAGGATTTGAGGTGCTCACAGCAGTGGTTATGAAGAGTTCTGTCTCCTGGGATATAATGATGGGTAGCCCATTGAAAGTCAACCGATGTTTCAGAGGGACGTATTGCCTCCATCTTCAGGATCAAATAAGCAGAGTAAGACTCACTCACTTGACACCTCTCCTTTACACATTGGTTCCCTTTCCTAACACACCCTTATGTTTTCCTAGACCAGCAAGATACGCACCTTTTCAGGGGTCTCCTGTTCGTTCACTTGGTCATGTGACAGCCCAGTAGTTTCATGAGGTCTACTCTTCCATTTCCCTCCGGCTTCCTGTGTAATCCAAAGTTTCTGGCCAGCCGATTAGTTAGTTATTGGAGAGGGTGGGTTTCCCCATGCACTGAGAACTGTATTGGTCCATTGTGCTTCCCTCTATGATTTCTACCAGTCTCTATATCCTACCGGTACTGGTGCTTACCATCAGTCCCACCCAGCCAGCGAGACCGGCTCTACTATCTGAGAGGTATCTATAATGCTTCCCCCATATACCAGAGGTATTAGAGACTGCTGTTGGGCGGGAAACGTCCGTTAATTTGGCTCAGTGACATCCTTTGGAGATATGAGGTTCTTTTACGTGCCGTAAAGCTACGACATGGGACCCACGGCTTAAAGTCCCGCCCGGAGGACTTGTTCCCTGAATTTTTCTGCCCTTAAGAATTTGACGACCTCTGCCGGGTATTTGAACCCGCGTACTACGAGTCATGGGGTGTGGCCAGCCGATTACTCCGTTTGCCACCTGCTTTCATGTTGGTACCTTGCTTGGCAAATCCAACTTTGAAGATGCATGTGATGTGTTCCTCGAAAACGTCAGTTGACTTTCCATGGACTACACGGCATTATATCACAGAAGATAGTACTGTTCAAAAGTAAATTAATTAAATGTTTATGTGGAATTAGTCATTTCAATTCAAGTCATGTCAAAGAGAATGGAAAGCAGGGCATGTGTTGCAGGAGACGAGCAGAAGTTCAGACTTCAATAAATGTTGCCTGCTATACCACAGCATATGTCAGAGAGACACAAGATATCTGATCTGTATGGAGTAGATGCAATTCCAGGAATGTTACAGCTCATGAATTCTTGAATTCGCTTTACTTCAATCTTATAAGCTTCTGACAATATTTATTATCAGTTGCTGTATGTAATATAACTACCATAACATGTTGCTGCACTCATACTAGGCACTGAAGCTCACATTTTCCTCCAACATCTATTGGATTCATTTGCAGCAACTGACTGTCAGTTTCCTTGCTGTGGGGACTCAGTACTTGACAGCTACCAACAGTATAGACAGCAAGGCATTAATCAGGGATTCTGTCAATTCATCAAGTTCATTATTGTGTTTTATAAGAGCGTACAGCTGGTGAAAATAGGTTGTGAAATGGGTAATCAATAATTTCATATTTCTCCATCTGCAGATACCATTGCAGGTAGATTGACAGCTACAGAACTCTCTGTCAGCAGGTATATGCATATATCTCTGTCAGTTGGTTGACAGCCAACATATTCTTCTGTCAGTGGGCTTATGGGCTGAAAGCTTCCTGTAGTTAGTTTTCTGAGGATGCATATATTTTCGCAACTGTTTTCATACACCGAGTTTCAGTAAGCAAATTTAAGATACAGATTTCAGTTTGTATGCTTACAGTGTTTACCAGTATCGGTTAGTTGGTCAGCAAGTTACTTGCATGCAAATTGCGTAACCGATTGTTAGTAGGATAACACATTATGAAATTTCTTACCACAAATACTGAAATACCTGTCAGTATGCCTATGACCTGAGTCCTAGTAAATCTGTATGCTCTTAGAGAACCTCATCCAGTAGGACAATATTTTACTGTAGGATCACACTGTAAAATCTATTTCAGAAAGACTTACTTGTGTCTGACAGTTGTATGATCCCATGACAGTAGCTGCAAACTAATGCACTTAAATGCTGGAAAAACAGTAAAACATTCCACATCACTGTGCCTGTGTGCAGTAGATCTGTAAGCCACAGAATGCTTGTACTGACCAATGCTTGGCTTGCAATGCACCATTTGTAGGTGGGTTCTCCAATACTGTGGTGGCTCTGAGAAGTGGAGCCACTGGTGGGTCCCCTGCGGTGACGGTGCACTGCTACACCCAAGACAGCCAGCCACTGCTGGAGCAACACAGCCCCCGTATGTATCAGTGTGTGGTTTTTGTGGGGTTGGATCCTCTGTCTGTGTTTGTGGCATGATCTATGGTTGATATATTGTTTATTTGAAAAATGTCTCACAATTTGAGATAGAATCACTAGGTCTCACTGCATATATGCAGACCTCATCACACTGAGGGAACATGTTTCCCTCTGGTGACGTATGGCTTGGTCAGCTGTACATATTAATGCTTTATTTACTGGTGCATAATAAAAGTTGCTGTTTTGAAGACACTGAAGATTCTTGTTCTGGTATTCTTGGTTATGACCGTGTGTAGTCTGGTAGACTAGCATCCACATTTCAGAAGGACATACTGATGCAGGCTACACAGTGTGTAATCCAGGTGACCAGAAGACGAACACCCTACTTACTGACATACTGGACATCCTGTAGCACTCTGGAAGTTACAACATTTATTTCCATTGTGCAATATTTCTCATTAATGGACCTACAGGACTTGCTGCAATGTTGGTACTGCTTATATTAGTGACACTATTTTAACATCATAGAATATGCTGATGTCACATCTTTATTTATCAGTGGAATTAATACTTTCATGTTTGATTCAGAGGTAAGCACTGGGAATATTAACATCCAACTCCATGGCTTTTGGTTGGATGGAACAGTGGAAGCACTGCAGATACTGTATGCTCTACTCGTACTTGATGAACGTGGTGTAGGACCACCTTTTGCCTTCAGTGCAGCTGCAATCCTTACAGTGGACTCATACAAGTTTTGAATTTTATACCATTCTTCATGAAGAACATCTTCAAGTTTCTTCAGAAATGTTGGAGGTGGGAATTTGTTCCCCACTCATCTCCAAAACTGACCAGGGTGGTTCGATGATGTTCAAATGTGGTGACTGTGCTGGCCAGGGAAGATGCTGAAGTTCACCTTCATGCTCTTCAAATGATGACTGAACGCTTCCAGCTGTATGAAGGGGGATATTGTCATTTTGGAAAACTGCATTGTTTGGAAATGTCTGGATCATGGGATGCATCTGATTACCCAATCTGTCCACATGCTCTCTTGCAGTAATTTGTCCATGAAGTTAATAATGGGACAAACAGAATACTGTACCATGATATTGCTGCCCAAACCATCACAGAACCTCCCCGTGTTTCACTGTTGTGACCAAGCATTCCAGATTGTAGTCTTCCTTGGTTGTTCTCCAAACATAGTGGTATGAAGGATGACTCATCTGACCATATCACGCATTTCCAGTTGTCTGATATCCAGGTTTCGGTGTTATAACAACACCATTTACGGATCTGAGCATTACTTTCAGTAATCAGAGGTTTAGCAATTGCAGCCCTACCCTGGATGTCGGAGACTCATGTTAGACAGCTTTTGTGGAAACAGGGCCTTCAAGATGGAATATTCAGTTCTGCTGCAGTAGTTATATGATTTTTCTAAACAGTCCTTCTCAATGTACGATGACCTGATTCTGTTAATGCTGATTTTCGTCCTTTGTTCCTCTTCTCTGATGCTGTCTTCCCATGATTCATGTAAGCTGATATGACCTTAGAAACTCTCATTCTCGAGACACCTAATTAATAATGTGTTAGCTTTTGTCACAGATGCTCCAGGTAAATGCGCACCAATGATCTGTCTTCTTTCATAATCAGACAAGTCTCCAATTTGCCGATTCTTTAACATGAACTGTCACTAAGCATAATTACTTATGCATTGACACATGCATTGTGGAATGTAAACAAATGGCAAAAGAATATTCAAAGTTGCCAACAGAAGTTCTTTCAGTGTAGCCAACTCAAATTATATTCCTCAATTTTTTCAGTGTTTCCATTATTTTGTATGCCCCTCGTATTTCTTCGGGATTATTCTAGCTTTAATGTTCTTTCGAACCAACGCTGATTTTGCACTGAAATTGTAACATATGCAGAGTCTGCAATAGGCGCTTATCCAGTTGCTGTGATGTATGGAACTGAACATTTTGGAAACTAATATGCACACGTGATCGGTGTGAGAAATGCTCGTCATCTATATAAGTACACCTGAAGTCACTGATCATTCTAATGTCTGTTGACAGCATCGGGAGTGGGCTTGTCAACGCCACATCTGCGCCGCCACCAATCTTCCGTCCCTGTGCAAGAAGACAACCTACAGGCGCCCCCACGGCCACAACCCCCTCACTCTGCTCTAAGCCATGCTACAGGCTCATCCTACTATGCCACCCCTTCACCTCCCATACATTCCAGTGCCCCAATGCATTCTCAACCCCCGCTCACACAGACTTCTGACAGCTGGCACCCCTCAGTATTACCACCCACAATGGATCAACCCCCAGCACCCCCACGTCAATGGGGGAATTCCAGGAGGGACTTCGATGTGTACGACAGGATAGAGCAGCTGGGCAGGTGAGTGGGTCAACATGACTTACTCTGTCACTCTGCAGATACAGAAACAAAATCCAGTGACTTATTGCTACAGGCTTTGGCCACCAAGGTTTCTGGACTTCACACGATCTGTTAGCATACCTTGATATTTTCCTGTCTTGGTAATATTTGGTATTCCTTGAGTTGACTTGTCAGATTTCACTTATTAGACAGTGTGTGTACTTTATATATGTGGTAAGGGTGTTCTGTGGTATTGGATTCTGAAAGGTTCTGACAATTGTGTATAACAAAGAGTTACTGAGTGTTTGGACTTTTTCCATTGTCTGGTATTCTAGAAAATAGAAAACATGATGTTTTGGAAACTGGTTCTGTTTCCATCCTCAGGTGAGGGTGGAAGACACCTACTCTGCTGGGCCCCTTAGAAAGAGCTACTCTCAATCACTGGACAACCCCTGTCAGATTTACACAGCAACATCTTCATGGATTATTTTGAGAAATTGCCTCTTGACTCGGCACAGCATAAACATGCGTGTGGCTGTGGCACATTGACACATTTGTGGCCTGGCCTCATAGTCCATTGCGTTTACAGGATTTCTTCAGGCACCCCAGTAGTTTAAGGCCGTCCATCCCATTCACCATGGAAGTAGAGTTAGACAGTGTGATTGCCTTGATGTTCTGCTCATCATGGAAGAGACGACACTAGCCACACACCCACACACACTGGCCGACACGTCAACTTCAACTCCAACCATCTGCCACATGTGAGAAAAAGTTTGGCTCAGAGTCTGCACAACAGAGCTTCCACCAAATGCCAAGAATGACAAGACCTGGTTAAAGAAATCAGCAGCTGGAGAAGTGATCTGCAACTCAGTGCTTATCCCCAAGGTTTCGCTGACTGTCATTAGCAGGGTAGCATTCATCTGAATAAAGAGCAAAAGCCCCTGGGCTCTGTGTATCCCACATGTGAAGGGTGTTTCATAGAAGTTTTTTGTGAATTTGCTATGTGGGATTTAGCATTATTTACATACGTATACTGCCTGTGTTTAAGGTCTGGCACTGCTAACACCAAAGCCTGCCACTGTGCACAGTACTGAGCCTGACTCTGGCTATAAGTAAGTCTCAGAAACGGTTGAGTAGCAGATGACTGTCAGCTTGGTCAAGCCATTATTGTGAAAGTAGCAGGAAAGCTTACAGAATGGCAGAGTAATCTCGTTCCATCCCCAGAATTATACAGCAGTTCTTGTGAGGTGAAGTGCATCTCTTACTGTGTGTTGCAGACAGTTGCAGTCTCTAGAGCATTCTGTTGCCAGCGACATGAGGCTGATCCTTACCATCCTGCAGCAGCAGCAGCATGCAGTCCACAGCTCAGAGTCATCTGGATCCTCAATGATGCCTGACTACAGAGAGGTGCGTTCAGAAACACCTCTACCATTAGTCACTCCCTTCATTTCACTAAGTGAGTCACTGAGACATGTTATGCTAAGTGCATTTTTATGGAATTCGGTATTTGGGTCTACACCAAGAAAATTTATTTTTCCCATTCATGTCAGCTGCAATTCCTCATGAATGTAACGAAGAAATTGAAGTTATCAAATTTTCTGGAAAGAGTTGCTAATTGTATGAAATGCCGGCTCTCATTTGTTTAATGGAGTTGTGCACAGCTACCAACTCACAAATCATGAAACTGAATTCAGACAAAAGTTTAAACTAATCTAATTTGCGTAACGTCATTATCTCCCCCCAAATGTAATACTTACACTGCCTTGACTCCATCTGCTGAACCTCATTTGGGAAAACAGGGCAGATGGCATGAAGAGTATTTCTGTTGCACGTTGAACCACACACCCCTGCCTTGTTTCTTTCAGAGTAGGGAATGTATGTATTTGCCATCACACATAACATTGTATGCAGTTTATACAAAGTATGTACAGTGTCTGAATACTTAAGTAACATGTTTGGACCGTAAAGGTTGTAATCAGGTTGCGATATATGCATTCTAACGGAACTGCTGTTAAGTATTTAAGTTGTTAATGTTGCCAAATATACTGATAAGTTTTATGATTGGTCCCAATTTTAAAACTTAGAACATATGATTCATCATCAGTACTCTGTCAAGACGACAGGTCCACAGTCTCTTCCAAAACAATTCCTCCATTTAATGCGATCTAGAGCTTTCTCCTTCAAGTGACAGTATCCTCTTCTGTCCCCAAGGTCATCCAGCATCTTCTTACGTCTTCTTCCTCGTCTTCTTGTCACTTCTGTCCGCCCCTCAATCTTTCCTTCGATAACTTCTTTTAGAAGGCAGTTTCTGCGTAAAACATGACCAATGCAATTAGCCTTCCGTTTTCTTATTTCGTGTAGGATATTCCTCTGCTCGCTGACTCTAATTAATACTTCTTCATTTCTCACATAATCGGTCCAACTGATCTTCTCCGTCCTTCTCCAATACCACATTTCGAAACTTTCCAGATGTTTCTGATCTACTGCCCTAAGTGTCCATATTTCAGCCCCATACAAAGCGATGCTCCAAAGGTAGCATTTCACTAGTTTCTTCCTCAAATTTAAGTCCAATTTGCTGGTAAAAAGATTCTTCTTCTTGCTAAATGCAGCTTTTGCCATGGCAATCCTGGATTTAATTTCACTAGTACACCTTCCATCATCTGTTAACAAGCTACCCAAATATTTAAAACATTTCACATTCTCCAGTTGTTTTTGGTCTATCTTTATTGTGACTGGGGTTGGTTGTCTCGAAATTTTCATTACTTTTGTTTTTTCCACATTCATTTCCATGCCATAGCACCTTCCAATTTCAATTAGTCTATCAATCATGCCCTGTAGCACAGTTTCTTCCTTAGCCATTAACACAAGGTCATCTGCATATTTCACAGTTTGAATAATTTGCCCTCCTACTTTGAAGTCACCGAGCCCATCCAGAGCTTCCTTGGTAAGGCATTCGCTGTACAAGTTGAACAGAATTGGTGATAAACAGCATCCTTGTCGAACTCCTCTTCCAATCTGCACACTTCCTGTCTCCCCCCTGTCCAGTCGTACTCTAACTTTCTGATCCATGTACAATTTGCTAATCAATCTTCTTTCATGCCAATCGATACCTGTTTCTTTCAGGATCTGCATTAATTTGGTCCAGTTTACCCGGTCAAATGCCTTCTGCCAGTCTATGAAGCAAACACACAGTTCTTCATCTATCTCCAAAGTTCGTTCCGCTATAATTCTCATCATCCCAATTGCATCCCTGGTTCCTTTTCCTCTTCTAAATCCAAACTGATCTTCTCCAAGTACATCCTCTATTTTCCTTTCAATTCTTCTTTTAAGTATCTTTGCTATTATCTTTGCTGTATGTGCAATAAGACTTATTGTGCGATGGTCGCTGCATTTTGTAGCTTTTGTCTTTTTCTTTAAGGCAATCATTGTAACTTCTGTAAAGTCCTTGGGCCACTCTCCACTTTCATATATGGTGTTCATTAGTTTTGTCAGTGTTTTCAAACCACCTTCTCCCAGTAACTTGAGCACATCTCCAGGTACATCATCATCTCCTGTAGCCTTTCCCTTCCTCATTTCCTTGATAGCTTTTTCCACCTCACTTTGTAAAATATATGGTCCTTTCTCGTCTGTATCTACTTCTTCTTCCGGTTCAACTTCTAAGGTTTCTGGCCGATTAGGTCGATCATATAGTTCTGAAATATAATTTTCCCAAATTTTCAGCACTTGCCTCTGATCTACTATTCTATTCCCCTGGGAGTCTTCGATGCCAACATTTTGAATCCCATGATTCTCTTTCCATCCTAGTTCTTTTGTCTTCATGTACATCAAATCATAACGGCCTGTTCTTTGAAATTCCATAATCTCATTACATATCTTCTCAAGATATTCCTTTTTGGCCCTGTCCGTGGCTCTTTTCAATTCATTCCTCAGTCTCCTGTATTTTCTCCTGCCTTCTTAATTGTTGACAATCTTCCATTTCCTTCGCTCCTCCATTTTACTCATCATCTCCTGTGTAACCCATGGTTTTCTTGCTATCTTCTCAACTTTACCTACCAAATCACTGATAGTATCTAACATGCATTCTTTTATATCGTTCCACTGCGCTTCAGCATTTCCGCTTTCACCTTCAATTGCACCGAGTTTCTCTTCTAGAGTCTCTTGCACGCTTTGTCTTTGAGCATATAACTTCTCCAAATCCCATCTGGGTCTGCGCTTTCGAAATCCTATAATTTTCTTCAACCTGGTTCGGAACTTGGCAACCAGCAAGTTGTGGTCAGAGTCAATGTCTGCCCCAGGAAGCGTCTTCACATCCTTCACACTGTTTCTGAATCGATGTTTCACAAGGATGTAGTCCAGCTGATGCCTCTTCCAATCCCCAGGTGCCTTCCATGTGTAAATTCTTCTCTTTGGCTTCTTGAACCAAGTGTTGGTAACAATCAATCCATTTCGTTCACAAAAGTCAATAAGCATTTGACCTCTGTGATTCCGTCTTCCTAGTCCATGTGATCCAACAATATTCTGATATGGTTCATCTCCAACAATGCTGTTCCAGTCTCCCAATATGATGCTGTTTGTGTCTCCTCTTCCATCTTCCTGAAGAATTTCTTCAATTGTGTCATACACTTTTTCCACTTCATCATCTTCATACTCTGATGTTGGCATGTACACTTGTATAATCAGTATATCTACCGGTTCCGCCTTTAACTTCAGAGCAATAATTCTGTCATTACAAGCAATCTTCTTAACAACACTCCTCACTACACTTTTATGCACCACTATTGCCACGTCTTTCAGCCCGTTCACCTCCGGAATAATACACCGTATAATCACCACTTCTTATTTCGCCTTGTCCTTTCCATCGCACTTCGCTGACACCTAGAACAGACACCTCATTCTTCTCCATTTCCGTTTTCAAATTCTCCAATTTCCCTGCTTGATTCAAGATCCTTACAGTCCATGTTCCAATCTTGTATCCATGATGTTTCTTCTGATCTTCGCACTTTTTCCTGTTGTAACACCTACATGACATTTCCTCTAGAAACACTCCCCCCCGGAGATCCGATTGGGGGAGTAGTTTACCTCCGGATTGTTTTGCCTCCAGAGGAAACATGTCACATACATGGTATCTCTGTTTTTGGAAAGAGACTATCCAGGAAAAGTGATAATATGGTAGTTTTTCCATTTGCTTTCCACATCGCAGTACAGCAGCCGTTCAAACCACTCTGGTCACGCCTGCTACTATACGAACTTGAACCATCTCGAGCATCATTTGCTCTGTGCTTCAAGTCGCTACTGATGACGCTGCTTCTGGCATCAGTTTTTGGTGTCTCTCTTCGTCTGATGCCTACCCTTTGACCTGTCCAGCAAGGGAGGCCCTGCCAGTAGCTACGCTACCGCTGGTATAGCTCTCAGGGTTCTTGGCATACTCAAACCCCCTCACCACGATAAGGTGGAGACACCGAGGAGGAAATATGTATATATTGTATATATAACATATAACATATGTATAAAATTACAAAATTATGGGATATCTTCCATTGCACATGTTGCTGTTTTACTAAGCAATTGACTCATCAATGTATTATTTCTGGAGCCATTCTGCCTGTGGCCTGCTCCTTGAGTAATGACTCACATCCATTTTTGTCAACATTTGGTTGGCTATTATATTGTGTGGGTGAAGGTGTTTTGTATGCTAAATTATAGAATAATAATTGTTAACACCATCCCGTGTGATTCAATATGTAGATATTTATTGCTTTACATGTTTCGATCAGCTGACCATTTCAGAAAGCATAAGATCAACATGTTCAGGAACTACTATTACAAAATTCATAATACATACTTAGAAGTTTTTATATAAAAGTTATTTACAATAATTTGAATTAAATCTTATTAGTATCCAATATCCAATTGAATTGAATTGATATGGTTTGTGTCTTTGTGCCTCTTCTGTTAAAATGGAATATTGGGGTGTTATTCGCAGTCCTCAGGGGTCCTGATAATGATGCCCCCTTTCTTTAGCTTGTTATGGTTGTGTATCGTTGTGTTGTCTGGAAATACCGAGACATCACAGCAATACAGAACCAAAGTAGTGTGACAGAGCAGAATGTATAGAGTTGAGGTGCATTCATGTTTTGCTGTCATACTATTGAAGCTGAGATTGTGTTGTGAATTTCCCTTTTATTCAGTGTTTTTGTTGTTAATTTAGGTTTCTGTTATTTTTGGCATATGTTGTTATGTGGTGGTGTTGCTAGAATGTCCAGCAAGAAAGTATTACAAAACAGCACATCTGTCTTTAAAAATTAGAGTGTAGCTCTTGGTGTTTTTTTGAGATTGTCAGTTTGAATCTAGCCAGTAGGCTGGCTGTTCTCATGACTGCATGGCTAATTATGCCCCCCTCCCCACTTCCTGCTTGCAGTCTTCCTCAGACTATGGTCAGAGGTCTAGGAGGTCATCCAGGGAGCACAGTTCCCATGTACAAAGGAGCTATAGCATCTCTCAGGACAGTCCGTCAAATTTCAGGTGGGTCAAATGATGTGAGAGGCCTTAAGAAAGTCCATGATCATAAAAACAGGTCAGTGACTTGGTTGATTGTTTTCATGCGTTTACACTGCCAACACATCCAACCAGATATGTAGTTAAATTAACTTAAACTTTGGTAGTGGTATTTCTGCGGTGCCCAGATATGATGTTGGTATCACTACAGCCTGGTTGCTAGGGCCTTCTTTAGTCTGCAGAAGTTTAAATTAAGAGTAAGGAAGACCTTATGACATGTTTGTTTCTTTACATTCCTCAGAAATACCAACAGAGCATGAATTTTATGTCACACACAAAGGTATATTGATTAAGAGATTGGGATTAAATGCACAAAGAATACATGATCAGAACCACAGTAAATGAATGGCAGCTGCTGATTATCATTCTGCCAGGTATCATTATTTCGTGTTGGCTTTGTTATGTTGTTAAGCCTATTTAAACATCATTCAAATGTTCCTGATGTCTGACCTTTGGGGGGGGGACTGTGAAACTGATAACTGTCTGGTGATTATATTGTATTGTATTTATTAACATTCATTAATTCATTCAGGTACATGGCCATTGATATAGAAATTGTCAGCAGATTACATTGATATTTACATAAGATTGTCTTAACATAAAATATATATAAGAAACTAATGCATATAACTAAAATACGAAGCTATAATTACTGGGATACCCCAAGGTCAAATTTATTATTCCTATCAAGATACTCTTCAACTGAATAGAAAGCGTTTTCTAGAAGAAACTTTCTCAATTTATGTTTAATTTTATTAATATCATGTGCAACTTGCTTGATATTGAGAGGTAGAGAGATAAATAAGGTAATACCGGAATAGTATACTCCTTTTTGAACTTCAGTTAGACTTACTCAAGGAACATGGAAGTCCAATTTTTGGCAGGTATATATTTTATTATTATTTATTTTATTATGAAAAAATCCATATGCTTTACAAGAAACATAAGAGTTGAAAAGATACATTTGGAATAAAGAGTTAAAATTCCAAGTTTACTAAACATTTTCCTACAGGAATCCCTTGCTTTGGCTTTCATGATAATTCTTACAATTCGTTTCTTGGCTATAAAAATAGATCTACTGTGTGGCGAATTGCCCCAAAACATGATACCACAATTTAACACTGAATGAGCATAGGAGAAGTAGATCTGTTTCAGGATTTTCAATTCTAATGCAGGTCTGAGGGAACGAACCATGTAGCCTAACGAATTTAATATTATATTTAAGCATCCTGTTGCACTCCATACGATAAATGATATGAACTCCGTCCCAAGTGCAAACAGTATATTATCAAGGACATATAATATATTGTTTGCACTTGGGATGGAGTTCATATCATTTATCGTAACGAATTTAACTTTGAATTTATATAGTCAATATGTTCTTTCCATATTAATGAAGATTCTATTATAATACCTAAAAATTTAATGGCGTTAGTAGAGTTAATTTTATAAGTATTGAATTCAGTGGTATCCGAAGTCCAATGACTAATATTTGGAAGGAACTGCATTCATTCATTCATTCATTCATTTATTTTTATTTGTTCACAAGATCTACATTTGGCGATATTGCCTCAGATATAGAACACGTCCATATAGTTTAAATGTCCATAAGGATAGTGTCATAATAAAATACAGAAAGTACAAATATACAAATGTAAGTTTAAAAACATCCAGAGAACCACGTTATAACACAAAACATCATATACATAACAATTCACCATCATAACAGTAATTATAAACACGCAAAACACATGATAATGCCACCTGTTTAACTTAAATTTCATCAGTACAATTTGAGTTATCTAAAATATCTTTGAGGACAAGGTCCCATAGTATACAAACAACTCATAGTACCAATAGATACAAAATAAAACATTTATTTTATTCACATTTCATTAAAATTGGTTCCAAATTCAGTTATATTGCAATTAAGATTTTAATCTTATATCATAAAAATATAATATAATGTTACATTTAATCCTTATAGTTAAAATATTTGTCCATGGTATAAAATGAGTGAAGAAATAAAAAATTTTTCAATACCAGTTTAAATTGTTCAGCATTTTGAGATATCTCCTTTATAGTGGCTGATAAGCCATTAAACACCTTTATTCCCACACAGTAGGCCCCCCTTCTGAAAAACTGTCAGTTGAGATAGTGGTTGATGTAAATCATGTTTTGCCCTAGTATTAACATTGTGAATGGCAGAGTTTGTTTCAAAATAATGTCTATTATTGATCACAAATAAAGAGAGTGAATAAATATATTGGGATTTTAGTGTTAATATTTTCGGTTCTCTGAAATGTTTCCTACATGACTCTCTACTTGTAATCCCTTTAATTATTCTTATGGCTTTCTTTTGTAATCTAAAAATTAAGTCACTATGACAAGTATTTCCCCAAAATATTATCCCATAGGTCATGATCGAATGAAAGTAAGCATAGTATACCATTCTTACTACTTCCTGGGACAGGAGAGGCTTTGTTATTCTTATTGCATAGCAGGCTGAGCTTAGCTTAGATACAGTTAAGTCTATATGAACCTTCCATATTATCGAGTACTAATCCGAGGAATTTAGTATTATACTTATTAGTTATTTTCTTATTTCCATTCATTATATTTAATTCAAGTAGTGTATTAGCCTTCGTTCCAAACTGCATGAATTGGGTCTTTTCCACACTTAAAGATAAAAGATTGGAAGTGTGGGAACATCACACATACTATCACGCTATTTCTACAGCGCTCACTATCCAGCTCACTTTTCACCATCACGCGCGCTAACCAATCACGTTGCAAGTCAAAGTCAGAGTCAGAGTCATGTTACAACTGACGGTCAGTCAGTCTGTCTGTCTTGGTGTCGAGCCCCAGCTGGGGCTCATGACCAGATATTTCTTTTGAATGAAAGTTACTGTCTTGTCTGTGTGGAGCGCCCTCTCTGACGAGAGGTCGGGTCTGTCATTTGTCAGTCAGTCTGTATTAATAAGTCCACTGTCTGTATTTACATATACACACTTATTCCTTACTTCAATGTACAATATATACAAGGCCTCTGTCAGTCCAGGCTAGGTACAGCAGATTATGCCCTTTTCTTTTTTCCTAGTATTATTAGCTACCACGGCAGTCTAGTCACTTGATCGGTCGTATGCCTGACCACCGCCAAGTTAAAGCCTCTTATACTTTCTGTGGCGGGCTTCGCCTTGTCCGATGTTGCGAACATTCTCATTATCATGATTTTGTATGACTTCTGCTTGTTGCATGCATAATTTTGTTATAAAGTTATATACATACGGGATTTTCAATGCCATGCGCCTTGGAAAATTGCCAGTGGTGCAGAGAACCTTGTTTTGCAGGCGCTGCAATTTAACTAGATGGGTGTCTGCCCCAAACTCCCAGGCGGGACTAGCATAAGTCATTATGGATCTAATAAGATTGTGGGGCTCTTGTCAATGTGTGTAGTCTTGTCATTACTCCTATGACAACCCACTTCTTCAGAACAGTTTGTTGGCCCTGAAAAGGACCGTGGTGGCTGAGATGCTTGACCGGTGAGGTAGGGCGGCGCGCGCCGGTAAGGAGAAAGGCTAGTTACGGTGAATGGCTGGTGAAAAGGCTAGTCGTTGAGCGCGGTCGTAGGAGCCATGAGGCAGTGGCTACGCCAGAAGCCCAGTGAGTCGGACCGTAACACGACCACCGGCGAGTCCAGGCGCGGTGCCCCAGTGAGTCGGGTGTGAGAGCGCCGGAGAGCCGAGGCAGTCGTGCCTGGCGCAGCCTGCCGATGTCTCCGAAAACCGAGCGCTGGCGTTGAAGCCTGCTGGCTGAAGTTGCTTGCTGTGTGGCTTGATCGTAGACTGCTGTCAGACTGAATCGAACTGAATGACTCGGCGTTGGAACCGCCCCTTTTTACACACTGCTCGGTGGGGCGGAGCCAAACTCGAAAGTGAGGAGGAAGAATTGATTGGCTAGCGCGCGTAATGACGTAGATGCGTGCTAGCAGCGATCCCAGTATAAATATGAACGTTTGAAGCAATCTGGTTGGTTAGCGTGGACAGGAGGCTGATCGGACATAAATTCTGAGGAAATTTCGGGTCTTTACGCGGTTTAGGTAAAGTTATTATTTTTGCTTCCTTCCAAGTATTTGGAAAATGAGAGATCCGAAAACAGTGATTGAATAAATGAGTTAGTTGAACCAATGGTCGCCTTGGAAGGTGCCTGAGGCATTCATTTGGGATGCTATCAATTCCACAGGCCTTTTTTAATTTCAAAGCTTTATTAATTTCTGAACGTCACATGGTCTGATCCTTTGAGGGGGGTTGTCATCTACGGTTTCCAGCAGAGCATGAACTCTAGCCTCCACCCGCTGTTCATGGTTTTCGTCGCACAGGTCATGTGGCGTGAACTGAATTTCCAAACAGTCGGCAATTTCGTTGGCTTTTTCAGAAGGATAAAATTTAAGGCCAGAAGAACCATGAATAGCAGTTGGTGCCCTTGGTCCGTCTCTCTTAAGGAGAGATTTCGCAATGGGCCATATAGTCTGAGGTGTGACTTCAGCGTTACCTATTTTTGTTTCCCACCGTTCAAGTGCCTTTTTTTTCAGGTTATTCGCCTGATTGATTTGATGACCCAATTGACTGCCATTTTACACGCTGGATCCCTGGTTTCAGGGGGTCTACTTCTCTCGTGGTCATCGACCGCCTGAGTCTTGTCTTACTCTAAATGGAAGAAATATTCAATTTGTAAATAGTGCAAAATATGTAGGTGTAATCTTCGATAAGAGAGTGACATGGAGATTACACATAGAAATGATCAAAGCCAAGGCCTTCAGAACATTCATTAGAGTATATTCCCAATTCAAAAGTGAGCGATTGAGCGCTAACATTAAACTGCCCCTCCATAAAGATCTTATTAGATCCATAATGACTTACGCTAGTCCCGCCTGGGAGTTTGCGGCAGACACCCATCTAGTTAAATTG